AATAAGGGTTTACCAGTCAGTTTTGGTGAAAGGCTGTTTCTGTGCAAAAGCAAAAGGACATTGCATATACACTCAAAACTCATTATAACAAATAAGGATATAACGAAATATCAGTTATAACAAAGTAAATAAAAAGTCTTGGAATAATCTTTATAACGAATTTTCAAATTTAACAAACTTATTTTCTTGTAAGATGCAACATTGTTATAACACAATGAGGCTTATTGTAGCACACTTTACCTCAATTTTAAATGGCTTGAACGTCTTTTGCAAAAGTCCTCCATTGAAACAATGAAAGGTAGAAAGGTGACAGGGTGTCTTGCACATTTGCTTAAAAAGACTCTAAAGCAAAAGCCATCTTCTTCTTTCTCTCAGCCAATGTATTGATCCTGCCCCGCCACCCTTTGAAAACTTCTTGCGCTGAACACAATTTTTTGGCTGGTTCCAGGACTGACCAATCCTTAATAAAGGGACGATGTTGTGTGATGACATCATCTCATGACATCACATTATTTGACATCATGATGAAGACATCGTAATAAGATCTTTATGTTGCGAATTTGGCAATTTGTGACTTCACCATGATGCCACGTGGTGGCGTCATCACGCGATAGAGATTTATTACATTGCTGCTGTAGATGCTGCCTCATTCTTACAATCAACAGATCTTTTAATATGTTGTTAACTTAGCTTTCCCGCTTGCAGTTTGAACAAATAATGGCGGCTAGCCACTTACTGCAGACAGCCAGTTCATGTGTGCTTTGCTTATGCAATGACATGGAAAACGTGGAGTCCGCTCTTTTGATATAAACACTCATAACGGGCAAGCCCCAGCACGTTCAACTAGACTACGTCTCGGCCTGAAGCATGACAGGTGCTGCCATCTCTTGGGCAGATATGCAGTGCAGAGAAGTGCACTCGCAAATTATGAAAAGAGTTCATTTTCGCATTTGATGAGGCATCTGAAGCATTGGCCTGACAGTACATTACCAGCCTTCTAAGACTCTACATGGATCGACCACCAGCTTGAGTGACAAAGTGCTCTGTACTGACGGGGTACAACTATTTATTTTCTGGATTCCTTCATAATAGATACATGCGACGTGTTGTCCTGTGCTATGATTATAGTAAGGGGAGGACGCACTTTTATTTTTATAAAAATCTCTCTGATCTATTGTCAAGCACCTCGAAGGTGATGACAGCCAGCAGAAATCACTGCTTGAAAGCTTTTCATTGTGAATGAGGCAGAGCACAAAGAAGAGGACACTAGCAAGCGCTGTCTAACAACGGATGTTTATTGAGGGAAACTGTGCTCCATCTCGTTTGCGCTGAGAAGTTTTCAAGAATGCATCAGTTCCAATTCGCCCACCTCTCTAGTTTTAAAACTCTACTAAAACACATATGAATAAAATAAACTCTCCTGGCATTTTTAGTCCAATGTTTCTTAAGTTCAAATTATAACTATAAACTGACCCGACGTTTCGGAACCGAATCGGTCCCTTCTTCAGACGGAACCCTGTCTGGTCAGGGACATAGTCGAATAGAACATAAACATCAACCAAGATATAATGTACAAAAATTAAAAACGTTTTGACTTTCTACACAGAAGTCCCTCGTCTCCCGTGTTAGGAGCTGTCTTTTGTAATTTTTTTGCATTTTACCTTGGTCGGCATTTTATTTTATTCCACTACTAACATGTAGCCAAAACGAATTAGTTTCATCTCTGTGAGAATGTTGAAATCTTTTGAATATGTCATTTAAGATCTGACGTGAAGGGTTTGCGTGATTCAAGAGTAAAAAAATGAGTGGGTCATCATGCTGGAAGAAGTTAAAAGGGCCGCTGTTTGGGTGAATTGGTATTGCGTAACTACAGCATGAATTAGTACAAAACAAAAGGACTAGAAAACATGACACACATGGCGTGTAAAGAGGGCTCTCAATCTTTCAATTGGTTATGTCAAGATTCCTGATTGGGCTGTTTTATATGTACTGCAGACACCAAGAAACACCACTCAACCTACTTGTTCTGTTAAACCAAGATTTATCTTATTTATTTCGGTTCACGTCAGTACTGCAATACGTACCAACTAATCTGCAAGGAAAGCTTCATTGCAAGAAATATAGATGGCAAACGTGCGCACACACACGTCTCAATTCTTTCATTTCTTCAAACTCTAACCATTTCTCGTGCAAGCAACTTACCGTGGCGGTCTAGTTGTGATGCTTGACTTTGACACTAAGGTCATGAATTAAATCTCGACCAAGGCAGCCGCATTTTAATGAAGGCAGAATGCTAGAGGCCAAGTGTACTTGGATATAGATGCGTGTTATGAAACCTCAAGTGGTTGAAATTTATGCAGCCCTCTACTACAATATCCCTTGTAATAATACCTTGGTTTTGGTATGTCAAACCCCAAAATATAGTATTAAATTTTGTGAAAATGGGTACAGTCATGAAGGCTTCTGGTGCAGAGCGATGCTTTCACTTGATTCATGCTGTGCCTGTGAAGTAACCTGTTTTCTCTCGTGCCTTGCCGAAACGCAGGTGAGCCGGGGACATGCAAGGACAGGGAGATCATGCGGCACGACCCGCACACGCTCGTCGAAGGCTGCCTCATCGCCGGTCGTGCCATGGGTGCCTGCGCCGCCTACATCTACATCCGTGGCGAGTTTTACAACGAGGCATCCAACCTGCAGATTGCCATCCGGGAGGCATACGAGGCTGGCCTGATCGGCAAGAATGCCTGCGGCTCTGGCTACGACTTCGACGTGTACGTGCACCGTGGCGCGGGAGCATACATCTGTGGAGAGGAGACTGCTCTGATCGAGTCCATTGAAGGCAAGCAGGGCAAACCGAGGTACGTTTACACGTCTTTGCTGAAGCACTTGGAGGCAAGCATTCTTTCATTTTATTGCTGGGCAAACTGGGCTGGTCTCTGTGCTTTAGGGAAATCCCTCACTCTAGCTCTAAAGGCTTCTTTGTCTTGAATGAACATTTTTGCTGAGCAAACGAGGCTGATTCTGGAAACAGTTCAATTAAAACTGTCTCTAACTCCCTGAACAACACAGTGAGCAACATTATAAACCCCTTTTACGTGACTCATTTTTGCCACAGGGTTGGCCTACTGAGACTCCACATTTGGTTGTACTCTGTGTATGCTCTGGAACGCCAGTCCTAACAAACGTCAAGTCACGGTGTGGGCCCTTGCCCCCTTTCCTCCAGCACCCCCCTTTCTTTCTCTGTTTTCCCGGACTTGTTTACTTGGAGTGTGCAGTAATACTTATGTTGAACGCCATCTGAAAGATCCACCAAAATATGTTCCATTGAACAAGACTTCTGTTTGCTGGAAGGTGAGCAGGGGGCCGGAGTTAAACCACGAAACCAGTCATATTAGAGGAAATTTCATTAACGTGGCAGTGTGTTTAAAAGATTTACATTTACTAAGAGTACCATATGTAATGACCGTGCATAAGGAATAAGCCACACATCCCTAAGTTTCCGAACAAGAAATAAACTACGTATGTCCATCAGAGGAGGAAAGTAAAACCAGACTGTGTGAATTCTCCATAACTTCCTTTTCCCTCAAGCAGTTTACTTGATGAATCATAATGAACTGGTGTCACGGAGGCGTAATTTGCAAATGCGAGTTGAAATCATTTTTCTTTGGTATTCGTTAAAGTGCCTTCTCCCGATGTTGTGCACTCTTGGAACAGACTGAAGCCACCGTTCCCGGCCGATGTGGGCGTGTTCGGCTGCCCCACAACCGTGACCAATGTCGAGACGGTGGCCGTGTCGCCGACCATCTGCCGGCGGGGTGGTGAGTGGTTCGCCTCATTTGGCCGCACGCGGAACAGCGGCACCAAGCTGTTCAACATCTCGGGGCACGTGAACACTCCGTGCACCGTTGAGGAGGAGATGTCAATCCCGCTGAAAGAACTGATCGAGAGGCATGCGGGTGGCGTCATCGGTGGCTGGGACAACCTTCTCGGTATCATCCCAGGTGGCTCGTCAACACCGGTGATCCCAAAGAGCGTCTGCGATGACGTGCTCATGGACTTTGACGCACTGGTCGCCGCGCAAACTGGTCTTGGCACCGCCGCCGTGATCGTGATGAACCGGCAGACGGATATCATCCGCGCCATCGCGCGCCTCATTGAGTTCTACAAGCACGAAAGCTGTGGCCAGTGCACGCCGTGCCGCGAGGGGGTCACTTGGCTCAACAAGATCATGCCGCGGTTCGTGAGTGGCGACGCCCGTGTTGAGGAGATCGACATGATTTATGAGCTCAGCAAGCAGATTGAGGGTCACACCATTTGCGCCCTGGGAGATGGCGCCGCCTGGCCCGTGCAGGGCCTCATCAGGCATTTCAGGCCAGTCATTGAGGAGCGAATCCAGCAGTTCAAGGGCAAGTCACGTGCTACGTCGCAGCACTGACGCGGACGCGCTGGCCGGCTTTTCCTCTGTAGTTGTTGAAATAAATTAAGGTACAAGTGATCCACATGAACATTGTCAGTTTTGTTTGGCATTAATGTGTCGACATCTGTTATAATGAGGTAAGCTCGCCGACTTCGATTGTCCATCTAATTAATTAGCACATTTTCTTTACAGTGAAATTGGTATGGGCATGCCTTGGACATGCCTCATTTGTAACCTTATAGCTGAATTTACTGCTCTCAATTCCTTTTACACCTGCATATCCGCCATTTTACAGTCACAGGGCTCTATAACTTGAAAACTTATTCCGTTTTCAAATGTGTTCTTGATGCTTATTTTCGTTGAGGCTGCACTTGCTGATAGTCAGTGTATTAGGCCCTGCTACCTCATGTGCCGAAGGTTGCTAGTGAATTTTAAGTTTCATCATCTAGAATATTGGACAGTGCTAGTACCCTAGTGTTCTTCCTAGACTGGTGTACTCCTAAATGTAAACCTAAATGGTTGTGTTGTTTTTATGCACAAACTGGTAGCAAAGAATAGACTAGAAAACATGACACACAAATGCGAAAATACCACCCTTCCAAAGAAAACATTTTATTTGTACATTCAGTCAGCAGTACTATTTACAAATTTTGTTTAACATTTCATTATAGAGCGTGTCTTGAGATATGTTGCAGATTAGGAGCGTCGTATCACGGGGATGTATGATGGTTATACAGCAGGGTAAGCTATACACAGGCTCTTATATCGCAGCGGAATTTTTAAACATTAGTGTCCATACCATTCATGATCGCACATTTGTATAACACACAATGTTAATCCTGAAAAGGACATCCTTGACAAGAGTAAGGTCTTATTGATAAATTGGCCTTCACTTCATAACTTAGGAGTTTTTTTGCCCCTTGCGAAGTTCCTGTCTGTCAAGCCTGTAGCGAATGTCTCTGTAAGGTCACCTACGTCATAAGAGAATTCAGGAAAAAAAAACAAGTTGGCACTGCTACAGAGTCAAGAAAGGCATGGCAACTTCATGTCATCAGTGTTGCAAGCTTTCAATACTAGCGCTGCTACTCTATCAGAAGCTTTCGTGAGCGAGAAAATGATGTACATGTGTAAAACCGGCAGTCTTATGACTTCAGAAACATTCCGGTCATAGTGTCTACATTTGCATATGGCATTAATGAATGAATGAGCAGATTTAATTTCTTGAGAGATACAGAAAAACGAAGCGAAGCTAAACGCCATTCGGCCTGACGTGGCTTCATAATAACAGCCATAGAACTGGCTTTTATGTGCAAGCGAGCCCTGTTTGTGAAATTGTCGCGACTGTTCGAGGCTGCAAAGGAATGGCTCGTATCTGTTATGGGGGGATTGACTAAGGTGCAGACGCCTTCACTATCTCACGTGGGAGAATATATGGCGCATCTGTGAAATTGGCAAGACTGTGCCACAGGCCGTGAGAGAAACAAACGCCAGAAGAGGAGGTTGCCTTTATACATTTCTTTGTCCCCAGGTGTTTACAGCATTACATTTTGGAAGCATTGACAGTAGAGATCGACTCTAAACAATGACATGCGGTCCCTTATTTTTTAATTGATTTACAGTGCACGATTGTTCTGGTTTGGCACGGCCTGCATGTCCTTGCACCTAAGTTAACCAACTGCACAGCTAAGCGCTTATGTAGAAATAGCACTACAAGTTTCTTTAAGAATTTAAAGCCCCAGAGTGGCTTGCACGTCTGGGTCGCGTCTGGGTCCCGACTGGGTCGTGTTTGATTGTCGACTTCCATTCACTAGTTATAGGTAAAACATCACTCATCCTTTTTTAACGTCAGCAGCAAAGAAGTGTGCAGAACTCTTAATTCCACCCAGCACTGCATGGATACTGAGGTTCGAGCTTTAGCACTGGAAAAGTATACAAACCTAGTGTGCTAGTGTCTGCTATAACGGATGCCAATGCATGTGGCACGATCGAGTCCCAATGCTCTGGGTGTGTTCTAACGTATCGGGCATCGGAAATACAAAACTCGTCCTCGCAGAATGTTTTCCAGAGCCAGAATTTTTCTCATGCATCCAGCAAACCAGTTCAACGATGAGCTAGGCGTCTAGTCCGAGCGCCGTTAGAAGGTCAGTCGACAAGCTTGAGCTTATCATTGGCAGTTCACAATCTCTGCGGTGCTCCGCGCATTCGCACTGATGTAGTAGCGAATGTCGTCGATGACGGTGATGGAGTCCGTCTCCTGTCGTAGTTTCACCTCCTTTGCATCCTCCCTGACGACCTCATGGAATTCCGGGAGCTCGACGACCTGAGATGTGCAGACCACAGCTTCACATCAAGAGTAAAGTGGAAATGTCTATGGGGGTTGTATCGGATGATTTGGGCATCAATATAACCCTCCAAGATATATTGATGACCGGTTATATTGACTATCTGTTTTTCTCCCTTGCCTTCTGTTTCATTGTGGACACACCATTATTTGTTAGATACAAATTGGTTTCATGGAATCCTGCCAAGTTGACAAAGGATCATAAAAGGTAAATTGTAGCATCACAAAGCTACAAAGAGCACCACAGAGAACCACATGTAAATCTACACAGACTTCATGCAAATATTCGTATAAATTTTTATATGGAAACCCGTATTGAATTCATAAAAAGCGATATGCAGCCCATACAGCTTTTATAGCAAAAGCGAGATCACAACAATGGCCGTTTTTGGCACTGTAGTTGTCTAACGCAGCTACCACCCATAACCACTGTCAAATGAAATAATAATAATAATAATAATAAAACAAAATAAAACATCATCTATGACAGAGCCATGTTGGTGCTTGACACTCCTGCGCAGAAAAGTCTACACAGGCTTCATATTAAAATGAAACGATGTTGACATATGCAATATAGTGCGGCAGAAGAGTAAAATAACCAGGTGAAACAGAATGTGAATTGTGTAACCAGGTGCCACACAATGCGAATTTCATTAAGGAGTGGATCGTGGAATGCTTTCAACCCACTACAAAAGGCTGGGCTATAATTCTCCATAGTCAACAGCTACCGGTTCAAAAGAGTGCACATAAAATGCATTGAAGACGTGTAGTGGGTACCCCGCTCCTCCACAGAATGAGGAATAATGGCGCAGTGGGTGCTTCCCAACTTGACAAAAGTTGTGACTCATGGCTACTTTGCAAGTGTACGGCACCCCCAAGAGAGTTTACTACGGGCTCTAGGGATGCCGCTCTTCCAGCTTTCGCTGTGACTGTGCTGCACTTTCCGTGCAGGCTTGATGTTTCTTTGAGAAATTCAGATCAATTTCCTTGCACCTTTGTGTACACACATGTGCACTCCAATTTCATCCCTTTTATACCGACTGTATGTGTTTTTGTAACTGTAACAGTAGCATTACCATGCAAGAAGTTGTTATAGTTACAAGCTACATAAAACGAAATAACAATGAGTTATTAGTTACTTGAAACAGTACCCATCGTGGTAATACATTACTAGTAAATACTGTACACACAATCGTAAGTCAATCGATTTGGTCTTTGAAATGCAAAGTACGGGGATCGATCTAGACACGAAAACTAGTTTCGGTTGTGAAGTCTATCTGAAAATAATCCCCACGTATTCTTGCAAAGCTAGTTTTTCTGCAAAGCTTTCAAAGCAATGCCATGAAGCCACCTCGCCACACAAATGACTTTACAATGTGTCAATAAAAAAAAATTGATGTAGTGCGCTCGTGCTCTTCTTTTGTTTTCGTTGGCCTTTTTTTTTGGGGGGGGGTGGGGGGTGGGGGGTCAACCTACATTCGAGTGGACTTATAATCATGTCAATACGGTAGTTATTGTCGAAGACTGGCCACTGCTATGCCCACCTTGGCAAGATGCTTGGCCATGAACTCGATGCACTGGTTTTCTAGCCTCGGCAAACGGAAGAGGCGAGATGCTCGCAGGGTGCCACAGACAGTTTCCACTTCGAGCATGCGTGCTATCGACGCCCCGCACTGCCGCTTCAGGTCTGGCAGCAAGTACACGTCTGCAGCACATAGCACGTCCCAGACGTTGTCTGCGCTGAGCTGAAGTTGGGAAAGTTGTATGTCTTCAGTGTTGCTACCCACTCACATGGTGAAGCATGTACACATTGGCCATTTATAACAACAACAACAAATGAGCTTAAGGACCCCTGACAGCGAAAGTTTTGTTTGCGACTTTTTTTACTGTAATCTGTAGCTTTGCATCTAGTAATGTTGAAATTGATACGTATATACTCTTAATGCATCATATAAGTCACACTAGCATCGTTAATTCACAATGATTTTGCGTCACTTTGAAAGGCCTGTTTAAATACCACAAGAAACTAACGCCCCACAGCAGGGCAGCACATGAGACTATGTGTGCTCAAGCTTCAATGGCGCTGAACGCGCTGTTGTCAAGTAAAGGGACCCGCGGGCGGTGAAGAACGAAACAATGCGGGTGCTTCGAGCTTGTCATTCTCAGAAAAAAAAAAAGAAAGAAAGAAAAGCATTCCAGGTGCATGCAGCCAAGATCTTCTTGGAAGCAGTCCGACAACAGAGCGAGAGGGGTAACGTACAACAGTCCTCGCCAGACACCAGTCAAGGAGGTATTGTGTGTGCCCCACAAATGTTTTCTGACGATGATAATACTTGCTTGACCCTTGCAACGTCTGGAGGGGCCCCTTGCTACGTCCAACCACTGAAAATGCTGCCTGCACCTAAACACTCGAACGAGCATGCACCATTTTTTAAAAAACTAATTAAAATATCTTGTAGGCAATGCTCGTCACTAATAATCAGTCGGAAGTGCCCCCCCACACGACTCTCAACCAACCATCTCGAGTTTCCAAATTGGTGTTGGGGGGGGTCCTTTAATGCTTGCAGCAGAAGGCAGTGGGATGTATAAGATGCAGAAGTTATATATAATGCGAAACCACTGATAAGAGCAGCGAACAGTGCGCGCTATAAAAAAAAATGGGGCAGGCGAGGCACGAGAATTTCGGTTATTTTTGCTGGAATAAACGGCAGTATTGAGATGCGCTGCTCGAACTTCGTCACATGTGTTGTCCTTAAAACCCGGTTCATCTAAAACGAAGTCTTCAAATTTTACTACCACAACGTGTGTTTCAGGTTTCACTCATGCTTTCTTGGCAATTGAGTGCATCGATAGCACAGTTGAACCCAGGTAATTGAATCTGGTATGTTGAGTTATTGTTATGGAATAGTAAAATTTTCTTGGATGCTCTATACAAAAGGATAGCACTGTACTAGCTTATAAAAACGCAAAGCAGCCTTTTCACCATCTTGCCCCATGCTATGCTTCACAAATTTTTCATTTCTCACCTTGTCATCCATGTCACTGTAAACATGGTGCAGAATGCAACCGAACACATCGGGCGAGACCTGCTGCAGTTCGATCACTGGCAGCTGCCGGCCACTGCTTGGCAGACTTGCCTCTGTGAAGTGGTCCTCAATAAGGGCACGAAAATACTCACTACGCTTGCAGAGAAAAACCTGTGAAGAAGGAGTAGATAGGTGAAGTGTATTTTCATTCTGGCCAGCACTCTAGATGGTCACTAGAATAGATAATTGGGTTAGCTCGTATATTTGTGCATATATAACAAGAGCTCGTTAATTCGAAAAATCCTATGATTTCGATGCATGTTCAGGCCTCAGCCATCATATGCCTTCTTTAATGGCATCAAACTCTGCTTAATTCAGACTATTCTTGGATTGCGACGAGCACAAAGAGCCAAAACAGCGTTCGTGGACAACCGAACTATAGTGGCGCACTCTGAATCGCTGTCGTCATCAGTGCGGTAACAATGTTTCGTATTAATGATGCAAAACATTGTAATGCCCCCCACCCCCTATGAGTTTTTGTAGAAGTGATGCGCCATGTGCAAAATTTACATTTAATGCATACTGAACAAAATCCAAGTATTGAAGAATGGAGACAGTGTTCGTCACAGGGCAGTAACGGTCACCGCATAAATGTCCACTCTGTGCACTTGTTCGAACCTCCCGTCTCCCTTATATTCTTTCATGCCACTAATCCCTTTCCTCTGATACTGAGCTGTACCCCTCTACGAACTGAAGGACAGAGTGCTACACAGGGGCGTAACCAGGGGTAGGCACACTGGGCCTGTGTCCCCCCCCTTATAAATTTCTTTTTCGCCGCAGCATACAGAATGAAAAATGAACATTTAAATGTTGTTCATACCCTACCCTCGTCGGAAAAACATTTCTGCCTGCGCCGCCGGTGCCACCGTTTTCCTAAAAACTTGAAGGTTGCTCAAGCTTCGCATTCAAGAGCAAAACGCAATAGCATGAGAACAGCGTGATTGGGTTGTGTTCACATTGCCCTCTCAAATGCTAGCTTCGCTTCCTGGTGCACATCTGAACCGTGCAGCACCGAAAGGAAAGTGTGAATTCATAAAAGTGTACGTTTAAAACTATTCTAGAATTCCTACAGCAAGTGCCGTTGCCATTGCCCACTATGCCACGATTTGCAAGGCAACACACCTACCTACACAGATGCACAGTTAGTTGAAACTTTTGCTGATAATGATGTTTACACCTGTGTGCTTTGTAATTGGTAAGCCTGTAAATCAAGCATTCTTTGTGCAGATCGTGTGTTTGAATGCCAGATGTGATTCTACATAACTGCCGTGCAATATTACATTCATCATGGACACAGCTCGCACTACATGACATTCGTACAGGGCTTTTTTTCCTGAAACATGTCCAAGCACAGCTGTGGCTCTGTTGTGGATTGCCTGCTTGCAATGCGGAACTATTGGGTTCAACAATTACCATTCGAACCAAAGATTGTTGCTTTCTTTATTTGAATCTATCTCACATTTTCGCTCACAAACAATAGTGATATTTTGCTCACAATGTGAGGGAAATATCACTATCAAAATATCACTATCAATGGTGATATTTTGCTCACAATGGAACTTCTGTGAAACAAATTCTTTGAGGCTAATAAGATGCACTTTCTCTGCCCACGAGAATGTGGGCAGACATGTGCAAGTTTGGCAAAACGTTATCAGTGCAGGGCAACGAAAATGGTGCCGCAGAGATGGTTACTCCATTGAATGGTTATTCAGAAGAAGATTGATCACGGAAGTGAGAGTGTCAACTCTCATGCACTGCTTACGATACACAAGGAACCGTGCATTGTTGCAGAGAAAGAGGGCTGCAACGTCACCTTGTGGCATAGAAAGTGCCGGCCATGCACTCTGAAGCAGATGTCGGCGTGGTTTCCACCTTCAGAAAGGAATGAAACATTACCGGGAGTCGCCTGGAATAAGAGGGAAGTGTCTTAGCTCACGATGCCTGCTTATGACTAGCAGGAGCAGTTAGCTGTTGTAGTTATGGTAACTGCTACGGTTACAGTTGCTGTTTCGGAGTATGAGTTTAGATTGCATGGAATCCAGTGTCACAAACAATGCCCGACAATATGATAGTTCTGCATTTGTTTCTTCTGCAAGTATATTTTTCAACCTATGCCATCCTAGTTATTTCATCTCCCTTCAATCAATCAATCAATGAAGCTGCTATTTCTCCGAGAGAAATATGGGGCTAACAGAAAAAAAATTGAAACCTCACTAAAGTGCAGGTTGACAAAGCTCCGGGCCCGTACCGAGTCCTACAGCAAATGAGCCACGTGTCAAAATAAGTGATTGTGCAGGACATAGCAAAGTCCTGACTAATGCTGCTTGTGCTCAGTTGCTCAATTTGCTAATACTAAGGCACGTCACGATTCCCAAGGTTTCTTTATTGTGCTCCTGCCAGTACAAATGCTCTTAGCCAAGAAAAAAAAAAAAGAAACTGACAAAGACACTTTGTATATTACCTCTGGTGCAAGTTCAACTGGTAACGCGGCAAAGTCCCTCTGTAGCTGCTCGCGATAATGAGTTGGTTCGAGCAGGATTGCCTCACTCTCTGCCGAATGTTGATTCCTGTGGCTTCCTGCATAGGATTCAATGTCATAGAATTCAATGCCTCAAAAGGGAGATTATCGATTAACTGAACATTTCCTTGCGTGTGAGACAAGCGTACGAAAATTAAATGAGATTAAGGTTGGGCTCGGACTGGTACACGTAAGAGCTCCATTCAGGTGATTTGCAGCAGGGCTGATCACGCAGCTAGAACAGATGCAGTCATAGTCCGAGGGGTGTTCAAATGAAAAGGTATGAAATGTTGCAACAATGTGACCGCTAATATAGAAGCCTACGCGGTTATGAGAGAATTTAGCAAGGCATCTAGGTATGCGATTGGAGCTTCTGCCGTGGATCGGAAAATGCGGAAGCGCCCGCGTGCGCAAAGGAGAGCAGAGGCTGTTATGAAGAGTGCCGTCTAATTGAAATTGACACTGCTGTACATGTGAGGGCAGGATAGCGCTCACATTGCGAAATTCAATGATTGAGGAACAGCGAAGCGTTGTTTAATTTCCGACTGAGAAAGGCGTTAAATCGGCCATCACCCGTGGCTGGCAGTGAATGCGTACGGAGAAAACTGCGTGAGACACTCTGCAGCTGATGCAGGCTCATCAAGAACAAAGACTGGCTCACGGATGTTGCGCTTCTGCTATGTGATAACGCGTGTCTGCTTGTCTCCAGAGTCACACGCTAGCCTTATTCATAGCGATCACCTTGACCATCTATACAACAGCCCGGACATGTCACTCTGCAATTTTCACAGATTTGGTACCCCCAAAAAATTTAGCCAGCTCCAACGGACACCGACAAAACAGCAAAGCTGGTGGCATGCAGTGGGGTTGAATGAAGTCGAATGAAGTGGGAGTGAAGCGGGAATTGAGGGTGGCTGTAGTGAGCATAGTGGTGAGTTGTGGGAATAGCACGTAGTGGGAAGAGTGGCATATATTCATGGTGTAGTAAATTTAAAGGCTTATTTTTCATTGTTAGCTACAATACTAACGAACACTAGTATGAACACTAGTAATGAACATGATGCCAAAAAAATTATGTATAAGGGATCTTATTAGAATTGATTGCAATGTAAACTGCCAAGAAAGAAAATCAGACGAAAAGATAATCTGCCACCTGTAGGGACTGGGCCTGCGACCAACCTGGGACTATTGGTCAGCAGCCAGCTCGTTAAAGGTCATGTGCTACGTGACACCAACAAGCAAAAAAGTGTTCCAAGGTTGCCGGAATGGCTATAGGTGACGCTGACTGAGGCTCTCACGTTGAGATGCACATGCATACCCTATAAAGTGAATGGAGGGATGACCGCTGCCGTAGTTCAGTGGTAGAACGTCAGACACGTCATGCGAATGTCGCAGTCTCAGTCCCTGTCGGCATCAAATAATCTTTTCCTCCATTTTTCTTTCTTCGCATTTACATTACGATTACTTCTGATAACATCCCCTATACTTTCTTTGGCATAATTGTCCGTTAGTTCACATTAACATATCCACATTAGGATTTGCCCACTTCCTCTGGGTAAGTCTCACTACGATCAACGACTGTATCCGGGCACAAAACCTTCACCAAGAGCGCCTCCACCGTTTAAACATCTGAAATTAAAGTGTTTCAACTTGGACGATAAACTCAAGGATGCTGTGTATGTCTGCGTCTCGTCACGGCCACAGCAATTCTGGGAACAAGAAATCTTTTGGCTTGTTCATCTATGGGATCAATGTTCTATGGCCTGGGCTGCATTGTTTGAATAAAGCCTTCCACAGCGTTGTTTCGTACTTTTTCATTTGAACACCCCTTGTGTATAGGCCTGTCACTGCTTTCCGCACAGAGTAACAGGCTTGATTCACATGCACAGCCATGGCTGCAAAATGATGGCTCACAGATGGCACCAGAGCAGATGATAGTAGCCAACGGTGTTTTAGCATAATGTCTATAGATTTGTAAACACATTAAACGTTTTTGAACACTTTATTTATTTGTAACATGTGCTTATAATTTGTCCCGAATGATATACTCAACATTTCGACAAACACCACAATGCATAATGCTGGTTGCCAACTTCAATACGAAAAATAAAAGTGAACACAATATATTAAATTTGTACAAAAACAGCTTTTTACGATTCCGAGCATATTTAAAAGTTTGGTCAGATTTCTTTCGCTTCTGGCAGTGATTCACATTCCAATTGGTTTCAGAAAATACTTTTTACATGATTTTTGTAAGCGCATAATAACACCCTTTCTAGCTTACTTTACTGCATGTATATCACACTTCCTTGTGCAAAAATAAACCTAGACAGCAGGCTAAGCAGTATTCTAAGAGCTCTCGCTATAGCAATCGACATATTGACACAAAACACTGTATACATGCGACAAGCAGCGATGACCACACTGTCAAGATCTGTCTGAATGTGCTAACACCAAGTATTAGATAGCCGAGTTTGGGTCATCGTAAGTTTACCGTATTAGGTGTAATCAGCACAAAACAGTAACAATAATGTTGCAGCAGGAACAGCAAATTTTAACAGCGATGTTTCGCTACATGTGCTGTGTCGGCATTTAGAAACTGAAAGAGAGACGTCTTCCCTTTGACAAGGACTACCTTACAGCATCATGTGCGATATGAGAAGCCACAAATCATTTCTCACCCTGATTCAGAGCTTGTATCAGCTCGTCCTTGACATCGGTGATGAGGCCCATCAGCCTGCATCGCAATGCCAGCTCGGCAAAACTGTCAAACTGCTTGGCTTGCATCTCGAGTCGACCTGAAAGTGACGCAGCTATGGCTCAATGCAAGTCATGAGTATTCAGCGCACCTTGGAATGTCATGGAACACGAGGTCGTAAGAACGAGCAGAAGACTTGGGTATATTTTACTGCTGCCTCAGCCAAAAAGGCAACTACGATGAAATTTCGGGCCACGCAGAGAAGGCAAAGCTTCAGGTAGTTTAGATATAGGACATCTACCATTAAAACTCTATGCTTAATGGCAAGCTGCGGCGATTTTTCGACCATGTCAGGGTAATGGTGCTTTTATGTTTTTGAGACACTCTTGTCACGTGCCTGATAGCTGAAATGTTTGACAAATTTGAAAATAATTTTAATTAGCGAAAAATTGCAATACCGAAACCCAACCGTGTTCATTGTCAACGTATGATGTAGTAGTACTTTGCCTGAACTGGAAATCCTACAAGGCATGCCGGTCTTGCCAGCGCAGAGTACGAAAACTGTGAAAGCTGCAAAGAGCACACATTCAGTGTGTAGGTCACCATTCCAACAACGCCACACCATGTCTGTGACTGATTGTGCCTTATGCACAAGCTACTTGGAGCTGTCAAACAATGACAGCTACGGTTCAGACACATTCAGAGGTCAACAAGTATTGCCATTCCTTTTCAAAGAAGAAAAACAGATTTTCGTATTTGTTTGCCTGGTTGCGCATCAGGCCGCTAGATAGCACTACTTGTCCAGGTCGCCCAAGTTTGTGCCTGTGGCGATCGGCGAAAACGCTTACGCTGTTATGGTAAATATATGGCGAATCGTGTGTAGCCCACAATGCTACACCGCTTGCCAGCCATTGTACGCCCACCCACAAGGAAAAGAAAATCGCACGCTCAACCAAGGAAACACCGGGCTACACAATCCATGTCAGACAACTGAAGCAGACGCTGCAGTGGCTCATCAGGCCCATCATTTATATCCATTGCTTGCAAAAATCAACGTCACACATAAAATGTTGCCAATAATTCCCGCAAGCGAAGAGAGCATTTGGAGGCAAGCTACAAAATTCATTTGAAAATAATCTGCGAAGCTCTCAAACGTGCCATTTGGCTATGAATGGCGCAAACGTGCAATGAACTCACCCAGTGAATTTCATCGAGAATCACTGATCTCGGAAAATTGCTAGAGCTGGCCTTTAAAGTACTAGTGAATTCGACATGAAAGGCACACAAAGGCAGGCATTAATGATATCATAACAAAAGAAGTGATACCTTTATTGCTGGACGTAAAGCATGACTGACAAAAGTAAATTTCTTGGCACAGAGGGTAGCCACTTGAGCCAGCTTGCTATTATTATGAGAAAAGAAAAAAAAAACTCTATGCAATAATTCGCTGGGACCAACATCATGGCTGCCAATAGTGAAATTAGATTGCTATTAGGTCTGTAGCTTTCCCAAAACTCCCTCAGTAAACATGTACACCACTTGAACGTAGCCTAATGTAGCCTAGGTGATATTAAGTGGCCCTTATAAGTTTTTGTCCGGTTACTTGGAATTTTTATTTTTTTCAAGCCTGATATTTTTTCAAGCCTGATACGTACCAGGCTTGAAATTTGTGTACATACAATAATGACTCCTGTTAGTGTTCTTATGCATGAGAATGCAAACTGCTGCAAATATGCCACAGTGAAGAGCTCGCCACAGCCGTTGCATGAGATACTTGCCTGTGTACAGGTACTGCATCATGATTTGAAATATTGAAGCGTCCACCTGGAAGAAAGCGTGACGGAGAGTTACTAATTATACCAGAAGCCGCCCCACCGCAAGTCATATTCAGCGAAAGAATGAAGCTCCCGATAATACACCCAAATACTGTTAGCCAAGATCTTCGTGTGTAGGACCTAGAGATGGCGCAACCGTCCCATGCAGCCTCATGCTAGCTGCACGCTCCTTTAGAATTGTCTACCGATTTCCTCTTCCTCCTCTATGTACTTCGAGCAGACGGCGTATGCTCACCTTTTCAGTTTCGCTCAATAGCCAATAAGCACGCATAAGAGGTGACAATTTGGCAATTGTTGCCTTTTGCAACTGTTTCTGAATATAGTCCCAAAATATGTAAAGTGGCCAATGATGTTTCATTCGATTTCTCTCATGACTTCGATAGGGCACAATTTGTTTTATTAATTACATGCCATTCTCGGTCTCTTGTTAGGTGGACAAAACAAATCATCAAAACAATTCATTTGCCTATGCTGCAACCCTCTCATGGCAGCTGCTTTCTGTAACTGCCACCCGGTTGGTGATAAAGACCCATGCGAGTACTATTCTTGCAACAATGCTTTTTTTAATCGACGAATGCAAGTTAGCATTTCTTCATGAAAACCAGGCAAGGGAATGCATCGAGCGTTACTCTGAAATACATAGTACAATTAAATGGGATCATCTCTTGATACTTGTGCAAGAACACAGCAGTGACGTACGTAAGACCTTTTTTTCTGAGCTTTTGCGCAAACGAGGAAAGAGCCACGCAGTACAGACAAACCTTGATCCCCTGCGATATCATGCTGAGGGTAATCACACGCGATGCACAAGCCACAGGGTTGAGGCTACACTCACAGAATGGTGAGTCACCGGCACCACCTGTCGTCCCGCCCACTTCTCCACCAGGGAGCGCCGGAAAAACTCGCACCGCGCTGCCAAGACGCAGCGGTGAGCAGGAACCGCTTCGCCCAGCACGTTGAACGTGACATCGCAGTGCTCACTATCCTCCAGGCACCTGAAAGCATGTGCACCCTCTTGTCAGGTTTCGACACGGTTGAACTGCAGTGGTATAAAAATAATGTGGACATAGCTGAATGGAATGGACATAGCTGAATGAATCTTGATGCAACAGACATGAAAGTGGAGAATTATCAGTTGTAGTAAATGAAATAAGGAAGACTGGTCAAGGTCTCATTTTTTTTCTAAGACAAGACCTACTCAAGACAACAGACAATAAAGCTAGCGAATGTATAGGGGACATTACTTATGTCTTCTAAGTGTATGATGGTAAGCATAACGCAAATGGACAAGAATCAAAATGGATGAAAAATCAGGTTGCAACAGGTAGGGTCTGAAACTACAACATTCGACGAACTCGTCTAATACTCCGTGAATCGAGCTACAGTGGCTATTCTTTTCCCATCCACTTGGTGTATTTTATTCTTTGTGTTATCCTGGGTGTGTCATGTCATGCGGTGCTTTTCATAGCCATGACGGTGAGTTTGGAACGCTCTTTTCTTTCACCAGCTGATGCCACAAAGCATGCAATCTTATTACGAGCTGGAAGTTGACCACAGTGGGCCCTCATTATGAAAGAATGCAAGAAAACCTGAGACAAGTTTTCATCCACTTTAATTCCTTTTGATTTATCTTATAATTACTGTATTACAATTTAAAAAATATACATAATGCTCCCTATACTTTCCTTAGCTTCACTTTCAATTGGTTTCATTACGCTGCAGATATAACAAGGGAAGTCTAATGTTTCTTTCTTCGACATCAACGCACAATACATGCTTATAAAAAATTTTAGATACTATAGTGAAGATATTTTCTTACTAGATGCAACCTAGTTAAGCTAATGAATGAGTGCACAGTTTTTTTTATACTACCATGTACTAGAGAAGTGTTGATAAGAACATTAATGTTATGGCTGTAGCATGGATATATGGCACAGGCAGGAGCACCAGGAAAAGAAGAGAAGGAGGACTGTTGTTGTTGCTGCTCGCGCTCGCTCCGCTTGACAACTGGTCGGTTCTAACTCTGCTTTTCTTTAATAAACGTCTCTCTGGCTCACCACTAAAAGCCGGCTATCATGGGGATAAGTTTCATGCAGCATGAAATAGTTTGAAGGAAGAATAATCTTGAAGTATTCATGGACCATTTCTCAGTTAACATACATACATTCTGACACCAACACAGCACAGGAATTTTATTAAATACCAGTAAAAGCCACGACACATGTTGCCTGTTGCAGGTTTCTTATGATCGTATTCTCTTAGTCGCTATAGTCCTGCCTGGACGGTCAAAGCATGCCAGCCGATCGTTTCCACTACTAAAGAACTAGTCCTGTTCGTGCACTCAGCAAAGCTCTCTGCCTGCCTCTACGTCGGTTCGCAGGGCACGACCGATAGTGCTGACTTGCGTGCTCCTGAGAAGGAAACCCCATGGACTTCTAGACTTGCGTCCTAGTGTGGAAGACGAACGTACCTCCGCAGGAATTCATCGTAGGCATCTCGGCGCATGGTGCTCGAGGTGATCACCTTCCGATCCCGCAAGAGGTTTCGGATCTCCATGTTCAAGGAGGCGTAAAGGCAGCGCTCCCCATCGAACGTGTTGGCCACGCAGCGTGCTCCTGCAAGTGAGATTGTGCGATACGAGGGGCTTGGACTACACGGTGCAACAGGAATGAATGCGCATAAAAACTGGTGACGGGCTTTCAAACAGCACGAATCTCTATATATTTTACATCAGAGATGCACTGGACCGTGCACAGCAAAAGCACACTTCCTAAAGTCACTTGGAAGTGAGATGATTGTACGATTGAGATTCAGTACGAACTGTTTACTTCAGTAACTCTTGCAACTCAAGTCGCCGATGATGCTAATAGGTTATCATCATCTCTCTCAAACTGTTTTAGTTCACAGCAAGATGAAGGCTTCTTCTGATGATCTCCATTTTCTGTTTATCCCATCCTGTGTGAGCCAATTCCATTCTATTCCTGCAAACTTCTTAATTTCGTCACTTCATCTAACTTTCTGCCTTTTTGGATGGCCTTTCCCAGTTCCTTGGTAATCATACTGTGGCTGTTACTGTCCAGTGGTTGTCTGTTCTACACATTGCGTGGTCAGCCGAGGTCCATTTCTTTCTAATGACATCAACTAGGATATCTTCAACCCTTGTCTATTCTCTGACCCGTACTGCCATTCCTCCGGTTTCCTAAATATAACTTTTTGTTTCATTTCACATAGCATGGTATTAAACTTTTTCTCTAGTTGATTTGTATGCTCCATGTTTCAGCTCCGTACGCCTAAAACTCGTAGTATCCAGTGGTTGTATGCTTTTCACTTTAGTGACAGTGGCAGATTTCCCGACATCCTTACGCGATCTCGACTGCCTTAAAGTTGTTGCATATTTTTGTTGATACCCCACTGCTACACATTAACTAATGAATATTTGTCTCTGGATAAACTGAAACCCACGAGAAATAGCCACGAACTCAATCTAACATCACTCCATCCACGTACTGACCTATTTGAGCTTGAGCTTTTTTCGGCACACTATAGAAGAATGGAATATTTTGCCTGGGTTAACCAGACCACTGCCTTAGATGATTCTTGAATGAATGTATTGAATTGCACTTTGTAATTAGTGTTATTTCTGTTTCTTTTTTCTCTCTGTTTTTCTTTCTCTTGCAGTGTCACATTGTCTTTCTGTTTGTGTGATGTTAAAAACCCCTTTCCTACGATAGACCAAATTGGGCTGCAGTTGTGAAAATAAATAAATAAATCACTTGCGAGCACCTGCCCACTGGACTACAACACGTTTGTTTTCTTAGGTCAAGGCTAAAACAAAAAAGTATTGGCTGAGATTCTATTTTACGATCACTTCACAAGTGACTTCGAAGTATCACTAATCGTGACGATGTTTACTATCAGTATGGATGGTATGTTAGCGCTAGTACAAATGTGCACGAAGAACACACGTGTGCTTACCTTGGGACAGTAAATATTCAACAACGTCCTTGTGGCCGCAGAGACAGGCGTAGTACCTGGGAAACGAAAGGACCCGAACCAGCGCTTTCGTGTCAAATAAGCGAGATCTACTTGCGGCGCCGCCAAGTCTTAACAACTTAATTGATACTCACAGCGGCGTACCGTCCCACCTGTCCCTGACGTTCAGTTCGCTTTCCTGTTCTTCCACGAGATGCCTGTAGATACAAAGAACAAGAAATGCGTACAGTACATTCTGATCAGTGTCCAATCACAAGTAACTATTTTGCAGTGAGCCTAAAGTGTACGCAATTGCGCGGCCAGCGCAAGACCGGCGAATGAGCATGAAGGGGCCGGGTCTAAGGAAGAGGGGAGCTGCGTCGTATAGGGGCAGCAACTGCGAACTTTGATCAAAAAATGCGCGTTGGCGCGCGCGCGTCATCTCGACTGGGATCACTTGAAGGTTCATACTTTGTACACACAGAATCAAACCTGTTGAGAGCGCCAGAGCGCGTGAGCTGGAGACGCTGTTGTTATCCGAAAGTGAAAGCAACTAACAAAACTACTCGAGCCCAATTTGCTGTCATAGCTCAGAAAACGAAGAATCACAAAGCGATGGCTTGCCGCTTTAATTCCCGTGTCTTAACCTCTAATGCGTCACGCTTGCGATCGTGTGATTGCAGCTGGTCGTCAGAAGCGAAAACGGCGCATGTGATCGCACTGGTGCACTCACTTGACGCGAGCGAGGTCGCCTTTCCTGCAACTCAGAAACAACTCCAAGGTGTTTCTACGGAGTCCGTCGTGACTTTCGGCGATCAGGGCGTCCTTTTGAAGCCTCATGCCGGCAGTGTTTCGGCGCAAATCGGGTGATCTTTCGGCGGCACTGCGCCGCGCAAGCAGACAGGCGATCGCCACGAGGTGACGAATTAAGCCATTGTTTATCGCCAGCTTCGTATTGAACGTCACTTATGCTTAACAGTTATTACGTTAGGCTGTAATAAAGTAAATAATCCATATTATAGTTACTATATGATAAACTTGTAAGCATACTTACAGCATGAATATTATTCTTGTATCTCAAAAACTTTTGATTAAAACAACTTGTTAGTGGCGCCTGTCAACCATCAAGTACACAAATATTCGAGTTGCAATTTGACCGCGCTTTTTCAAACAGGAAAATGTCGGCCACAGCTGCGCGGCAAATCCATTTCGCAGTGCGCAAAACTTTGAATGTCTTTTCAAATAGAGTGTACCAATGCGTTCGTGCGTGTGAATGCGTTTGATTAAATTACTCGGATACGCTGTAACGTTAACAGCTGTGCCTGTTCTTGTGGAGGAGGCTACTGACAACGCGCGAAGTTCGTCATACCGTAACTACCGGCGCAGCTTAAGCACGTGGCGCGCATTTCCACGACCCTAAACGCGCATGCGCAATTAAATGCATCGCGTTGTAAACACAATGCAGGCGTTTTTGTCTTTTTGCCCTTTAAAAAAAAGTTTTGCTGATCAAAACAATGTTTGCGCGCGCGAGGAGTCGACGCTTTTCAGCACGGTCGTCACCCCAAATAGCCATCGTTTCTTCATTTTTTTCCCCTTGAAACGCGTGAGCCCAGCGTGTCGAATTTTAAATGGCGCCTATTTTAAAGCATTCGCAATCTGGCAGAGGTGACGCTACTTCGTTTGGGCTTCAATGTCACATGTTACGTTTGCTTTCTTCCGGCCGTCGTCGTCCTCAAGGCGCGCTAGACGGTGGACCTGACATATTGTTATAGATGTATAAGTATGTGCTGTTTCTACCATGTTGATAGCGCTGCAGGAAGGTATGTTGCATGAGCAGTGATGGAAGTGCTGCTACAAACAGTAAATCTTTGTTAGTAATTGCTCCAAACCTGCTCCGAAATGACACTGAGAGAATGAGAATGACGAACTTTTAGATTCAAATTCAGTTTTATTGAGCATTTTCTTTACAAAAATGCGGAACGAAAACGCAAGGGTGGGAGAGAAAAGCTGCCATGTTAGCAACTTGACGAGGCTCCTACCCCTTGTACTTGGCATCAGAGAACCGCAAAGTACAAATGCGAAAACAATCGGACATCGATTTTCAAACCTTTAGGAAATCATCAAATAATACCAAGCGGCACATTATATCAGAGTTTCAGGTTTACATAGAAATTAGCAGGGCACATACACACATAAAAACAAAAACAAAGAAACAGCTAGCACTCACTCAATCATCAAAACGATGCACGTGTTGCTAAACAGCTTACAACACAGTACGAATTATAAAAAAATATGTACAACATTTAAGTATACGAAAGAATACGAGTTCCGAAGACGTACAATATTGCCACGTTCTATTTCCCAAGTTTTCGTTATCGTCCCAAAACACCACACGATTCTCAGCGCAAACCGCGCCTGCAGTTTTCCAGAAGGTTCCGGACTGTAGTAGATCATTTCGATAAGATCACGCCCACTGTGCGAACGGTACAGATTGTTCTGGAACCTACGCCACCGCCAGCGATAACGCTAGAACATTCAATGGCAAGAGTATAAATGCCGACGCGCTTCGCCACTTGTCAGTAGTTGTTGATCGAAGGCCGACGCTCTGTTCGCCGCTATCAGTCCGAGACTGCTATCTGTGCGAGACTGCTGCTGTAATTGGACTTTCCTTTTACCGGGCACAGGTTCGCCCAAATAAACAGTTAAATCCCAACACGAAGTCTCCTGTCTTCGGCCACGTCACGACCCCGTGACATCTGGTGGAGGGGCTGCTTCGTTCATGTACCGGACGCCCCCGTCAAGCCGTGAACCCAGCCCACGTCGCGGAGAAGATACCGACGCCAACCAGGAGCAGCGAACAAGCCGCCGACAGCAAGGGCTACCACCGGAGTACGGGCTTCTGCAAGACAAGGCGCGGAAGACCAAGGCCATGACCGCGACTGCAGCGACAATGACAACCGCAGCGTCGCAGCCCACGATGGTCATGCATCAACCCAGGGAACCACCAATTTTCCATGGGTCATCGTTCGAAGACCCGGAGTCCTGGCTAGAAACATTCGACCGTGTGGCCGCCCTCAACCACTGGGACCATGACGAAAAGCTGCGTCGTGTGTTCTTCTATTTGGAAGACACCGCAAGGACCTGGCTCGAAAATCGGGAGTCCACGCTCCGAACGTGGGATGTTTTCTGCGGCGCATTCCTGCAAACGTTCGCGAGCGTCGCTCGCAAAGAGAGGGCCGCTGCTTTATTAGAGACCCGGGTTCAGCTACCAAATGAAAATGTCGCCATTTTCACAGAAGAAATGACCCGACTATTCCGTCACGCTGACCCAGACATGCCTGAGGAGAAAAAAGTTCGTTTCCTCATGCGAGGGGTCAAACAGGAGCTCTTTGCGGGACTGATGAGAAACCCACCGAAAACCGTCCAAGAATTTGTAGCCGAAGCGACCACCATCGAAAAAACCCTGGACATGCGCACCAGACAGTATAATCGTCGCCTGACAGCAGAATGCGCTGCTGCTCAAGCCAGTGACTCCGACAACCTGCGTGAAACGATCCGAGCGATCGTGCGGGAAGAGCTGCGCAAACTGTTGCCTTCGGCGCAACCTCAAGTGGATTCGATCGCCGACATTGTGCGAGAAGAAGTTCGGCAATCGCTTCGAATTCCCCAAACACCACTGCCCGAGCCAGAAACTATGAGCTACGCCGCTGCAGTGCGCCACAACGCTCCTCCCCGTCCACGCCGAAACGCCGCCCCGTCGCACTTCCGTCGCCAGACACCACCGCCGCCATCACCCCTACCGACGACCTACCGTTCGCCAGCGGGCCAGCGCAGTGCGCCGAGGAAAACCGACGTCTGGCGCACCCCTGACCACCGCCCACTGTGCTACCACTGCGGCGAGGCCGGGCACACTTGCCGCCGTTGCCAGTACCGACAGATGGGACTGCGTGGCTTCGCCGTCGATGCACCACGTCCGCAGCCAGGGGAACGGCCACGTGACATCGCTGACTACCTGACAGAAACTCAATGGAGACCACGAAGTCCTTCCCGTTCGCCGTCGCCCAGCCGCCGCATGTCACCGCACCCCCGGCAGTACTCCGGCCCAACGCGGGGCCGGTCTCCTAGCCCGTATCCGGGAAACTAAGGGCAGCAACCGGTGGAGGTGCGGTTGCTGTGCGACGAACTACCGAAGATCCTCCTCCGACGACGACGCGACGGAGCTTTCCGAACACAACGCCAACCAGGCAAAGCCCTGACGGCGAAAGCTCACTTACAGAAGGTGGCCTGACGACGCAACATGGAAGCAGCGGAACAAGCCGACGCAGCCGTGACCCGACGCCACGCCCTAACTGTAATGCGAGACGGCGAACTAGCGACCTCGACGTTCTTATCGACGGCCACAGTGTGACTGCTCTCGTTGATACTGGAGCTGACTATTCTGTCATCAGTGGGTCGTTCGCCGCGAAGTTAAAGAAAGTTAGGACGGCTTGGAAAGGCCCTGAAATCCGCACAGCTGGAGGTCATCTCGTAACGCCTGCAGGAATCTGCACAGCGAGAGTCACCATTAACGGCCGTATTTATCCTACAGACTTCGTAGTCCTACAGCGTTGCTCGAGAGATGTCATCCTTGGCATGGACTTCTTATGCCTCCATGGTGCTGTCATCAACCTAAAAACAAAGTCGATAACGTTATACACAGAAGAAGCACTACCGCCGCGCACGCCGTCGGGACACCATGCCTTGAATGTGCTGGAAGAACAAGTCACCATTCCGCCTCGCTCAAGCGTCATTATTTCAGTCGGCGCTCCTAAATCACCTGACTTGGAAGGCGTCGTTGAAGGCAGTCAGCATCTGTTAGTCACCCGAAATATTTGCGTCGCAAGAGGAATTGCAGAGCTGCGGGGAGGCAAAGCAACGGTTATGCTCACAAATTTCAGCAATGAGTACAAACATGTGAACAAAGGAACGACGTTTGCATACATCGAAGAAATTGTCGAAGCCACCAGTGCTTTCGCCCTCGCCGATTCTGCAGAGCCTGCTCAGAGGAACCAAGCCCCACCCACAGCGTTCGACGTCAATCCCAGACTTCCGAATCATAAGCAAGAACAGCTCAAGGCCCTGCTCCTGCAATACGAAGATTGCTTTTCGTCGTCATCGAAAATTCGGCAGACCCCAATCACGAAACATCGCATCATAACCGAAGAAAATGCCAGACCACTCAGTCAGAGTCCGTACAGGGTTTCGACGCGAGAACGTGAGGCCATGAAGAGACAAGTTGATGAAATGCTGCGGGATGACATTATCCAGCCGTCCAAGAGCCCATGGGCGTCCCCCGTGGTGTTAGTGAAGAAAAAGGATGGGACCCTACGTTTCTGCGTCGATTATCGCCGCCTGAACAAAATCACAAGAAAGGACGTGTATCCTCTCCCACGAATAGACAACGCACTTGATCGGCTCCATAACGCCAAGTACTTTTCGTCAATGGACCTCAAGACTGGCTATTGGCAAATCGAAGTCGACGAAAGAGACCGAGAGAAGACGGCGTTTATAACACCGGACGGCCTCTTCGAGTTTAAGGTGATGCCCTTCGGCCTTTGCTCAGCGCCTGCAACTTTTCAACGCGTTATGGATACAGTACTGGCAGGATTGAAGTGGCAGACTTGCCTTGTGTACTTGGACGACGTCGTCGTGTTTTCCTCGAGTTTCGACGAGCATCTTCAGCGCCTTGAAGCTGTACTTCAATTCATCAAGACGTCCGGACTCACACTGAAGCCAGAAAAGTGCAGATTTGTGTATGAGGAGCTCTTGTTTCTGGGGCACGTTATCAGCAAGTCTGGAGTTCGTCCCGATCCGCGGAAAACAGCCGCCATCGCCAACTTCCCGCCGTCCACTGACAAGAAGGCCGTGCGCCGATTTCTGGGCCTGTGCGCCTATTATAGGCGGTTCGTGAAAAACTTCGCCCGCATCGCCGATCCTCTCACTAACCTTACCAAGGCCGACGTGGAATTCAAGTGGGAAACGCCATGTTGCATGTTCTACTAAAAAAAAAAAATGAACATTTACATAAGAAGCAACAATGTAGGAAGACGTGATTACACATATGAGCATAATTATAGGGTGTTTTGTTTTAGGCATAGTGTTCCTGCCGAACAATTAGAATAAATTAAACCTTACATGCAGCCATTCTGTATGAGCAGCTTCTTAAGTTGTTTTTTTACTTATACCAAAGATGGCAATGTCTTTTTATTTTTAGGCATGTTAAAACAAGCGCAAATGTAGTGTTCAAGTCTTTTAAAACCACAGTTAGTTCGAGAATATGGCACACACCAGGAAGGACTTTGCCTAATGCTGTAATGGGATTGTGTAGCTTTCCTAAGGTTACATTGTTTAAGAAAACAAGTGTTTTTTGACAGCAAGCTTTGCTTGTATTTCATTATAAGATTAAAACTGTGTATTTGATCAATGGATAAAATGTTATATTCTCTGAATAAATCACTTGTATGTGTATCATGTCGTACATTTGCAATGTGATGAATTGTTTTTTTCTGCAATAAAAATATTTTGTTCCGATTTTCTTTAGATGTATCTGCCCACCTGAAACTACAATAGTTTTTGTGAGATGAAAATAACACATTATAGAGTAAATGTTTGATTTTCTCTGGGAGCATCTGTCAAAGTTTAGAGAGTACTCACACGTCTTCGCAATGTTCCTAGTTACTTTATTAACGTGATGGTTCCAGTTAAAGTTTTCATTAAAAATTACTCCTAACGATTGAACTTCTTTTAAGACTTCAATTTTTTTGGGCCCTAGACTTATATCCAAATCACGACAGACAGCTTTCTGAGCCGGTGCGAAACCCACAGCTTTGGATTTTGTTGAGTTGATCGTTAAATAATTTGCGGTACTCCACATGAAAATGTCGTTAAGAATGTTATTGGCTGTAGCTGCAAGCTTACCCAAATCATTACCGTGAAAGATTATACTAGTGTCGTCTGCATAAATTATAAAATCCGCACTATTACTGATCCCTGTTATGTCGCTGATATAAATATTGAACAGTAGGGGCCCTAGTATACTGCCCTGAGGTACACCTGACGTTATGGTTTGTAAAGAGGATTGATCAACTCATTAGTCCTTAAGAAACTGAAAAGATTCAGTGCACCATCATCCCAGTGTGCTACTAGTGTGCAGCATTATCGGCTTTGATCTCATCTGTGCGACAAGAACTGGCATATTAAGCATATTGTTCATTTGACTGTTTTTTTTCCTCAGCTGGGCATGCAGGCTTGTGTGGTGAAATGTGAAACTTAGCAGGATTGCTTTTCTCATGCCGATTATTTACTGCTTGTTTGACAACAGTTATATGGGACTGTGGTTATTTTTTAAATGTGTTGCTCGGCTTTTTTGGTTTAATTTGATTTCTGTCCCAAATACTAGTACTTCAAATTATAGCTAATTTCACCGCACATTTTCGATGACTTGCCATTGTTTGCTTCATGAAATTTACATTGTTGTCTGGTAAATATATACTTGTCTGCTAAATAAAAAAATAATATTTACGAGATGCTTCGGTGATTCTCTGAACTCCAATTAATGCATGGTTCATTTGTAGGCACATTTGTTTCATCACTGTCGACACCATGTTCCGTAGTAAATACAAATCCAGCATTCATCCACACATCGTTTGTTGAATGTGCGAGCAGAAGCTGCAGACTTTAAGGCTCAGGCAGAGCTGAAACTGTGCAACACAAGACGAAGAGAAAAAAAAAAAAACCCATCAGCACAAGTGCAATGTTGTTTTCGTCTCTTTTTCATCCTCGTCCAGTATTGCACAGAAATGATGAATCAGGACCAACTCTGCCAACTGTCAATTCTATTGCAGAGATGAAACGTGCTGGCTGGCTTCGTCTGGCGAACGGGCATATGAAGAGGGGCTATTTGAGGGCGCGTTGGCTGCGTTGCTGGGGCAGCAACTGCGCATTTTGATCAAAAGGCGTGCATTGGTGTGCGTGGCATCTTGACTGAGATCACTTGAAGGTTCATACCCTTGTACAGATGGAATCACACTTGTCTAAGGCGGCGGAGCGCGTGGCTGTGGACGCTACTGTTGTCCGTAGATGCTACCTCACATTAGCTACAAGCTTTTACGTCCATAGGCTGAAATACGTGGCGCAAGGTTGACAAAGAGACAAAAAGACGAGACAGAAAGATTCTTTTTGTCAACCTTGCGCCACGTATTTCAGCCTTTTTGTCTCTTTTTTCCTCTCTTTTTTCTCTTTTCTTTTTTTTCTCTTTGTCAACCTTGTGCCACGTATTTCAGCCTAATATGTACCAACTAGCCCAACATAACGTACTGTTAACTTACGTCCATACTTGAGTACAAGGACTTAGCAAGCAGTACGACTATGTATGGTATCATTACAGCGTTGACCTTTGCATATGTATGCAAGGAACCATTTGAGAAGTAGCCGGCTGGGCGCTCTGGAGAAGTGCGATGCTGTATGTACGTGCTGTGGTCTCGCCACTTACTTCGTGTTGAAGTGGCACACTGCATGAAAATGGTGTTGCCTCCTGGAGCAGCTGTAGGCCCTTATGTCCTTAGCATTGTGTAATGTACCTCCAGATAGAATCCCAACGGAGTTAGTTGCTAGTGCTGCTTCGTATATAACATCACGATTTGTTCCCTGTTTCGTATAACATTCCATGTTGTTGCTATCGCATTCACTGATTCGCTCTTGTGGCGAAACTGACTTTTTTTATTGGTGATGTACTCGTCAAGTTGAGATTTCAAGATGTTAATTCCAAATTCATAGGCCTGCGCATAGTGTGGGGTCAGGCACGACGGGCAACTGGCCCCGCCAAGTTATCTAAGAGAAGGGGGTGCAAAATCTGCCCCATACATGCATAGTTTCCCATAAGTACACTACAGGGAACTCTGGCACTAGTGTCTATGGGAGCTGCAATGCACGGCGCTTCAGTCAGCATGGGATGAGTAGTACACGTATTTGTCTTGTATTGGTTCTTTTGGCTCTGTTTGGCTCTGTGCAGCCTGAAGCCGCTTTTTAAGAGTACTTGCATAGCATCAGTTGTGCGAAAAAAAAAAAAAGGAGCAGACTCAACACGAAGTGTATAACAAGACTAAACTCTTTATTGTTCAATTCAACAGTGCACTTGGGTACTGATCTTGCAAATTTTGACGAGTCACTGTAGGCACTAAAAAATATGTTTTTCATGAGCTCGGCCCTGGCAATTCCTTAGAGCTGCAGGCACCGAGACAAAGGGCTTCAGATACAGTAAGAGCGTCACTTTGAACAGCTAGTTCTAGACAATGTTTTACACTTCGTTGTACAAAATTATACAGAGTAAGGGCCAGTTACCAGGTGCACAGTCAAAGAAAAAAAAAAGATTTGGAGAGAGACATGCATGAATGAGCCTTGTAACACTTGCTACAACAGGTGTTTAGTTATATTGTATAGTAATGCTTAAGTGCACAGTATAACAAGCAGCATGGTCACATTGTGTCTAGTGACAGAAGAAAACTTAATTTTTATGGGCTATGCATTGTTCCATGCTGACATATTAACATGAAGGCAGCGTTCGTTGACACGTGGGAACAAACATTATGATCGGTCTTCATCATACATGTCATGTCGCTAGTGGCTTCGTTATGCATGTACCTTTTTTTGTGTTGTTTGCACAACGTGTGTCTCACTGTGCTTGCTTTAAGGAAACAAATTTTCGCCTTCGAGTAAAACAGTATTCTTTTTGCTCATTGATGCTTGACGAGTTAAAGAGGTGGGTCTGTGATTACAGTGCAGTTTAACTGGCCAGTTGCGCAATCAACTATACAATGATGATGTTAACCGGGGTTGTTTAGCATGTGTGTCATTTTTAGCATAAGTAAAGAACAACCCCCTGGTTAGCCTTGTCTGTGCCTTATTGTGGGCTATATATTGTATCACACGTATGCTCCTAATGCAGAAAAACTGCGTTGGCCTAGAAGGCATGAGCCCACGAAAAAGCCCCACAATAGAGTGTCAGAGTCCGCATAAGTAATAAATGCTCTTTTCTTCACTTGGTGTGCTTAATTGTTATAGTACATACTTTAGAGCATAGTTTAATTATTCACACATTTATAGTAATTAAACCCTTCCCAGTAAAACATGATTCTGACCAGTTACGCCTTTCCCAGTAAAAGATCAATGCGTAGAATAACATAAGAATTCCCATAGTTCATCAAGTTCTTGTGCGAAAGTTTACAGATTATGGACTATAGAAAAAATCCTCTGCAGTAATGTCACCCATGAAAAAATTAACCATGTTAGATGTCTAGCATTTTTGAGAATCACCCATCCAGCCTTTTGAAGACTAGAACTGATGTGAAAAAAAAAAAAACTATGACGAAGAGGTGAACCCACTGCTTTAGGATGTGTTAGTGCAGACACACAGATGTCGAATTTGTTTTACAAAACAAAAACTTGACTTTTATTATATAAATTAGTAGGACATATTCAAACAAATGTGCCGTGACTAAACGATAATTTCAATCATGTTTTTTTTAATTAACTATATCGGCAGGCTCATTTCTGCACTCCTTGCTCCAAGGCATTGATGGTTCGCACACCCAATTCAATGCTCACCGCCCAATACCCTTCTCTTTAGAAAATTTTCCACATCTGTGTGTTTCTTCATGCTTGACAGAAAAGAAGCATGAAAGAGGCAAAATGCAATTAAAATTTCTATTAGCATTTTCCATCTGATACATCCTAAAAGAATCACAGTTTGTCAGGGGGCAGGGTACGTTCTTTGCTGTATGCTGGACGTAAACGTTGAAATGGATGAATCTGCAGATTATTCCCGTGTAGTATGGAGAATGTTGTACTTTATAAGCTCAGTAGTTCCCTCTTCTGAACTCTTCTAGTGTTTGTTCAGTGAAAGACTGGCTAATGGATAAATGCTAGTGAACGTCAGACTTTTTCTTTATAATTTTCTTGCGTAGCAGTATACAAATGGTAATGTGACCTAGTTGGCTGTAGCTTGTGAATGGTAGGCAGTGTTAACAGTGCATAACTGACCTTTCACATGCTTTCATCATTTTTTGCAAGTCGATTTTGCACCGTTCATGCCACCGTCATGTCCAGTAGTCATGTGCGGTTTCAATCGTTGGCACTGTCACCGGTACACCGGGCGGCACCACTGGTATGCTTATTGGTTAAGCCAGCAGCATCATCACGTAGCGTCATGCGTCAAGTTTTCGAGACTACCCGGCAAACTGGTCTTTCTTTCATTTTCGACTGAAGTAACCAAAAATCAACACTGTTCCAACAAGTCAAAGCCGAAACAAAGTTTTTAGGAAAGCCACCCAAGGAATTTGGAGCTATATCACTCCATATTTTGTATTTCCTTCTCATTTTACTTCTGTTAACCTTGTTAACTGGCTTCAGTTGGCTACATTATATGGATCATCAATTTTATTCCTCAGAGTTATTATTTGGCGCACCCTCTGTAAAAGTAATCTTTCTGCATTTCGATTAGATGTCATAGGAACGCCGCATAATAATGGGCTGATGATCTTAGCCGCTGCTGCTTTGTACAGATTGTGCCATGGGTAGTGTGCCTCACCCTGCTAGTACTGTAGTCACTCTAGTGTTCCTCATGCTGCGTCTCGCTCCAACTATTGACTTGTCTGAAACCTAGTGCAATTCTCTATGATGTGCCAGTGGGAAAATGCAAAAAACAATTGCCAAGGCACAATTTTTGGTTAAATCTTTGCTCGGGTGTTTCCGCCACGGGGAGGATATTTGACTTGTTCTTGGAACAGAAGAAGCAAAGGACAATGAGAGGAAGATTCTATAGCGAAGAAAAAAACACAACAAATACTGACAAAACCTTCATCACCTTATCGCACATCAGTACAAAAAAGCTGAACTTGGTGCAATACAATAAGAAAATCAAAGCAGTACTTAAAAAAACCTGAGACAGCACTCACGCTCAGAATTCTGTAAGAATTCTGATACTGTGAGAACTTGTCATCGCATGGAAAACCACAGGATTCAGAAGTGCTTTCTAAGTGGGGGGAGAGGTAGGGTGAGGGGCTAGAAGCATTTGCAGATGTGAAAGATTCGGTCGGCTTCCCCGTAATGCGGTAATTTGCATCTTGCCAATCGCCCGTTAACAGTACTCTAAGGCTAAGAACAGCAATGCAATGTGCCATATAAGATTTAAATGATGGCTCAGCAAAAAGGAGAATGCTTCTGCACCTGGTTTGGATAACTCTAACAACGATTCAGATATGAAAAATGGGCCCTGATGGGAACGTGATCTCGGGGATCAGGGAATTTGTGGCCATAAAGAATCTGTGCACATTCATGGCTTATAAGTGACTGATCTATTGGTTACGGGTCAGCAGTAAGAGTCACTGTACGGATTGGTGCGAATATTAGGTTTGTCCCGTGTGAGGATAACAGAAGCCGGGGGTAGTCGAAACAAGAAGGGGGCGTAAGAGGGGATGGGGGGTGGTTCCCAACCCAATATTCCACTTCTGAAGCCCTCCCCCCCAAAAAAAAATTATGTTCATAAACATTAGCACTTCTCTCTGGCAAAAACTTCCGACTTTTCTTTCGCATTTCTAAATGCAAAGTGTTATACGCTTTGAATATTAGTGCCCCAGAAAAAAAAAAAAATTAAGGCATTGGAAAGAATGTCCAGTAAGGCTAGTTGATGTAGGTATGCACTTGTGTCACCTTGTCCTCTGCTTTTTCATAAAGTCGTGCTTAGGACAAATTTTTAACCAAGATGGGTGCCATGTGATGCGTCAATTAGCACCGCCATACAAATGCTTGTGAAAGCACATAAAAGCAGTGAGCCCTCGTTTGACTTGTGCTTGATTAACTAGCCTAAAAAGTGAAGAAAACGTTCTTATTAAATGCAACGCATCCCTTATCAAAGACTCTTCGCTGGAACACACTGCCCCAGATGTCAGCACACAGCTCGCTTGTAATCGTGTTCGTTTGGTGATATGTTAACGCACGGACTTTCCCGCAGATTAGGCATAGCGGTACTGAGAGACTTGTTCAAAGACTTTCAATAAAATGGTCTTTCAGTAAGTAGAGGGAAATTGGAATTTCTTTAATTAAAGTGATCTCTAACGAAATTTTGTTACCAATACTGATCTGAAGCATTGTATAAAAGCCAGATTGGGATCTTAGAAGCAGCTTGAAGTTCACATCAAGAAAACAAAGTTACATGCTAAAAAAACAGAAAAAATAAAATCTCGAGCAGGGTGAAATAGCACATATGAACTCACTTAAAATTGTTGTAGTGACAAAATATACACTAAATATTATATAATATTGAGAAGAAATTGTGTACTTCTTGTGAAGGAGCCTTGAACATATATTTAATATTTAGAAAAAATTGCGTTTTTCATGTGAAGGAGCCTTGAACATATTAGCAGCAGTGGCTTGTACTGGTTAGCACTGCCTAACGCTGGTGAACTATTGGCTAATGTTGGTTATTCATTGTTATAGCAATACCAATAAATAAGTCGCATTTGGTATTTTGCCCTCTGTTTCACTCCATTGAATGTTTTGCATGTTACAACTTGTTATCTTGAAAAAAATGTGTAAATTTTTTTTACATTTAAATGAAATTGTTCATGTGTGATATTTTGCAGCACTTTCTCATAGTGCTTAAATTAAACTGCAAGACATTCGCTGTTCCATCTTTGCTGCTGTCAGAGGGTATGTTGCTCACGTAATAATTATGTACGTTACATTCCACAGCTGACATTTAAAACCAATATGTCTCGCATCTTTAATTTTAAAAAGTTTGCAAGCCATGAGAGCAATTGTGCCTTCATAAGTCACTTGAACCGAGGCACTTGAACTGAGAACAAAGATTGCTATGTTAACGACTTCTGTGAGTACTCGATATTCATACTCTCCATGCTAAAGCACGTTATCTTGAACGTGTCATAAGCGCAGTTCCAGTTTCAATAAAATTGTAAAGGAACCTCCGTTTGACATGGCATGGCATACGTAGGGTTGGACATGTGGAACATTATTCAAACAATGAAACACTTTGAAGCTGTGAGCTGCGGGAAAAAAAATAATAGAGAGCAGTAAAGCGCCATTTCCATGGCATGAAGTTCATCCTGACATTGCAAAAATGAGTTTACACAGATGAGACTTCTTGAGAGGGACAGCGTACAAGTGATGCATACTGCGTAAACATTATGTGAGCACCGCTTACTCTGTTTTGCTTTGCAGTTACACTTTAAACGAACAACATCACATTAGACACCGGTTAGTACATTCGTAGAAACTCCTTCTCATGTAGTGAGGCACGAGAAAATTTCGGAACTGTATGTAACATGTCATACATCTCTGTACTTGGAAAAAAAAATGCTTCAGGACATCGAATGTCACCAAATTGACTAAAGAGATACAAATGCAAAAATGCGAAATCTCAAGTGTGTGAATGCTGTCATACTGTTACGCTATCAGCAACAGCAGCAGAACATGTATCGTTACAGCAACGCGTACACCGGATATGCACTCGAATTATGCTTGCTCACAAGTACGAGAAGCCAACAACTTTCTTGCAGCCAGACAAATACATGAATCTGCAGTAATGATTTACAGACACTGGCCATGTCAAACAAACCATTTCTTTTGGGAATCGTGAATGCACTTGGATGAAACATGGACAAGTCACCATAACAAAATTACACGCATACATGTCACTGCAGCAACAAATGGTGAACATTGTATAAGGTTCGTAAGCTAATAAATCAATGAAATTGAGTGAATGCTTACTATAGTGTTAACCGAGTTTCTTAACAAGTTGTGTACCTTTTTTATATATGTTTTTTTGTTTGCAAGAACAACAATATGTGAAAAATGTGGCCATTAAAAAGCGAGTTATGGGCCAAAGTGAGAAAATCGTGGCACCTAAAAACGCTGAATGCTAGTTACATTCTATTTAGCTGCTTTGTTAGTCACCTCACCGGGGCAGAGCAGTTCACCGGTCACTGATTACTTGATGATCGTTATCACAACAAAATCATGGAGATACTCTCTGAGATAAGACAACATATTCACACAGGGTGTGGTGTAGCAGGCAAAAATCAATAGCAGAGAGAGCTTGGTGTGGAAGTTTACCTTGACTTCGATGTTGTGTAAATGCTCTGAATGAACTGGCAAAGGCATGACCAGCTTCTTTCGAGCGAATAGGTCTCAGATATTCGTAAAAATGGAAATAATTCTACTCATGTAGGTGTGCACCACAAATGCTCCGCGCGTAGGATGACGTAAAACTTTAACTGCTTGGCAACGTGCTAAACTGCATATTTTCAAGCAAGGGCCTTTAGCTTTAGGACGGTGCAGGAAAATACTTAACAATACTGCAAAATGATTTCTTTTCGATAAGCAGCATTTGAATAGGCAAATCGCTGTTCTTTCTGACATTTTTAGTGCAACATGCAGAGTCGACAAATATAAAAGGTTTTTTTCTGCCATCTTTGTTTCACCACCAGAAACAGCGAAAATTAACAAACGCACAACAGCAGTAACAACAACTCATTTTAAAAAAACACACCCTTGATTGGATGCAGCAGCGAGTGTCTGCTATCCCATAAGGCACAGGTTAATCGCCTTGTTTCATTGTCATTCATTTTACAACCCTCAAAAGTATGTGCCTATCAAAAAGAGTTGGACGATTTCCCTCAGAAACGACACTTCAAAAGTTACTCTGCAGTAGACATTTGTACATGCCATACACTCACACATACACACACAAATCAAAATGCAGCAGCCGATTGCAAGGCTGCTGTGGATGTCTTCATAAGACGAAGCCTCCGAGCCTTCAACGTGATTGCTTGCACCAGGAGAGAAAAAAAAAGAGGAGCGGCTTTTGAAGAAGGCTTTTTGTCTAGCTGATTACAATCAACCGCTTTTTGGGCGTGAGTGGTGTCACTGTCGCATGCGCAGCCAGACGTGGCAAGCCTGTCTTCTTTCGCATTGTTGCCGGTTGTCGATGGGCTCACGATGGGGCGCCGGTAATCGGGACATTGCCGTGAGACCAAGCGTTTAAGATGCAGCAAGCACTGCTTCAGCACATCTTATCACTGTCGTCAGGGTAGCGCACGAGACGTTCGGTTAGGAGGTGCCGCGTGCAACAGTCGCGACTCTCCATGTTTGAGGGTGAAGAATTCACGGGGCGATATGCCGTGTCGATCGAGACTTTCTCGTAGTTTCACTGGGGGGTCGAGGTAGTACTGCAAGAGAAACGAGAAATGGTAGGTGGGAGCTGTACTGCATAAGTAGTTCAACTCTAGCGTCTCAGTAAAAAAGTGTGTCCACAACCGACTGCACACAGCAAGTTTCATAATGAGAGTAACGTGCAGCAGAATTCACGTTTACTGAATCTAAAGACGATCCCACACTAGTTTGATATACACTCAAACATCGATGTAACAAATCCGGATATAACAAAATATCGGTTATAATGAAGTAAATTAAAAATAGTCTTGCAGTATAGTGCTAGGAACCTACCATTATAAAAAATTTCGGATATAACAAACTTATTTTCGTGTAAAATGCAGTTTTTGTTATAATGAATTTTGGGTGTATTGTCAATCTGACAAGAAGTACAAGCAAGTTGTATATATTTTTGATAATTATTTTTCAGCATTGTAGAAAAGGATTTGATCATTAAAAGGCTCAAATTAAAAGACTCAAAAAGTGGGCACGGCGGCAGCGTGGCTGCAACGATGTTCAACCGGAACATTTTTTTCTTGGCGCAGATCTTCAGCATCGCAATCACCAGGCACGCTCCCCCATGGAGCCACGTGGACCACCCCGATAACTCGTACCCGACTTTGCTTCAAGAAGAAAGCGAGCAATTGTCACACTTCTGCCACATCACGGATCCACCCGGGGGGACGCTCGCCGTCTTTTCCGAGTACAGCGCCAGGGGCCGAGTGACGTCATCACAACAGCAGCTCATAAATGCACCACCGCATCCCGGACTCTTCAGTGGGCACGGCGGCAGCGTGGCTGCAACGATGTTCAACCGGAACATTTTTTTCTTGGCGCAGATCTTCAGCATCGCAATCACCGGGCACGCTCCCCCATGGAGCCACGTGGACCACCCCGATAACTCGTACCCGACTTTGCTTCAAGAAGAAAGCGAGAAATTGTCACACTTCTGCCACATCACGGATCCACCCGGGGGGACGCTCGCCGTCTTTTCCAGAGTACAGCGCCAGGGGCCGAGTGACGTCATCACAACAGCAGCTCATAAATGCACCACCGCATCCCGGACTCTTCAGTGGGCACGGCGGCAGCGTGGCTGCAACGATGTTCAACCGGAACATTTTTTTCTTGGCGCAGATCTTCAGCATCGCAATCACCGGGCACGCTCCCCCATGGAGCCACGTGGACCACCCCGATAACTCGTACCCGACTTTGCTTCAAGAAGAAAGCGAGCAATTGTCACACTTCTGCCACATCACGGATCCACCCGGGGGGACGCTCGCCGTCTTTTCCGAGTACAGCGCCAGGGGCCGAGTGACGTCATCACAACAGCAGCTCATAAATGCACCACCGCATCCCGGACTCTTCAGTGGGCACGGCGGCAGCGTGGCTGCAACGATGTTCAACCGGAACATTTTTTTCTTGGCGCAGGTTAGTCGCATGCCTGAAGCCAAACTTTTCGAAGTAACGATGTTTGTCTTTTGCTGCTGCCTTGCCCCATTGGTGTGAAACGAGCGTTGTCTTCTTTCAGTTTCCGTGCATTTGTTAATCTTCTTTTGAGATGCGGTGACATCGAGCAGAACCCAGGGCCGGTCTTGGGGAGCTCGGATAATGAAGAGCAGCTTCATTCTAATCTCACTGACCGTGAACTGATTCTACACGTACTTAATAGCCAAAAAGAAATATTGAAACAGATGAACAGTTTTGGTGATGCGCAGAAAGCCTTAACCAACTCTTTCGCGCAGTTCAACGATAGGCTCGATTCATTAGAAGCTTCAGCCGCTTGTCTTGCTGGTTTCGGTGAAAAAATTCAGTCCCTCGAATCAACTATCACGAAGGTTCAAGACGACGTTACCTTCGTCTTAGATAAAATTGACGATCTCGAAAACTGCAGCCGGCGAAATGACATCATCATTCATGGCTTAAAAGAACAACAGAACGAAACCCTGGAATCCTTGCACGAGGGCGTGATTAACACATTCTTTAAGGAAACCTTAAAAATTAGTGTTTCAGGAGTAGAAAGGTGCCACCATTTAGGAGCTAAAAAACAGAACAAAATTCGCCCCGTAATTTTGAAGCTTGTCGATTTTCGCGAAAAGCTCTTAATATTTAAGAACTGCCCTAAACTAAAAAACACAGAAATGTATATTACAGAAGACTTCTCCCAGAATGTTCGTGAAGTCAGAAAGAAACTTTGGGACAGCACAAGTGAAAACGTAAGCGGAAAGAGGACGCAAAGCTGGTTTTTGATAAGGTGTCCGTGAATGGGACTATGTATGTGTGGGACAAAGAAAAAAATGATAAGGTGCCTCTTCGAAAACGATCAGCCATATGACAACCTTCCGTATCCCCTTCTATTCTGCTACTAAATGATAACTGCCGTAGTATTGTAAACAAGTCACTTGAACTAGAACATCTGATATCGATACATGATCCGGACATTGTTGCATTGACACAGACCTGGCTTCACCATGGAATCCACGATTGCGAATTTGTTCCCCCAGATTATCGTGTTTATCGCAAAGATCGTGATTCCAGGGGAGGCGGTGTGGCGTAGCTCTTTAAAAATAACATACAAATTGCTAGAATGGCCGACTCCATTGGCGTTGAGGCCTTATTTTGTAAGATGTGTCGCGACAAACAGTGCATGGTCATTGATGTTGTTTACAGACCCCCTCGTACCAGAATCGATGCTTTGCAGAATTTAAAGGGATACATTGGTCTCCAGATAACGAAAGACACGAAACTTGTGCTCTGTGGTGACTTCAACCTACCTGGTATTGAATGGCCCACCTTCTCTTCTGGTACTAATGATACTTTCAACAACGAGGAGTTGATTGATATTGCATTTCGATTTGATTTGGTTCAACTAGTTCATGAGTATACACATATTCACGGAGAAAGCAAATCAATACTGGACCTTGTTTTTGTTCTGTCTAATATTGACGGTCACTATGAGTGTGAGGTACTGGATGGTCTCTCGGATCATAAGTGTGTCTTAACTCAATTTCGTTTCTCTCTTCCAAAGACAAGGTTGAAAATGACTCGTGTTCCAATTTTCTCTGCTGCTAACGATGTTTGTATACTAGACAGATTGGAGTCTGTGTATGATCACTTTTTGAGTACTTCTATGGACACTATGTGCAACGCTAACTATCTCTGGGTAAAATTTAAGAACACAGTACACGCATGCATTGACCTCTATGTTCCCTTCCGCTATCGACCAGCAAATCCTTCGAATCCATGGATCACCCGTGACATCATTCATTTAAAAAGGAAAATTAATCGCTTGAACAAACGGTTCAAAAGAAATCGTAATACGAAGCTAAAGAAAGAAATTTCCCAACTCTCTCGTAAACTAAAAGACCTACTGCAAACAGAGCGGCGTACATTCTACACTGTGCGCTTGAGCAGCATGATTAAAGAATCGCCCTCCAAATTTTGGCGAAGTATAACCCCTAAGCACTCGGATACTAGCACTTTCGTAATAGATAGCATCTGTACCTCAGATTCTACAGAAATCTCGAATTCATTTAACGAAAACTTCAAGTCCGTATTTACAGTTGACGACGGAACTATCCCGCCTTTCGATAAATATAGAATGCTGCCATCTGTTGAGGATGTTATAATTACCGAACCCGGTGTACTTAATCTGCTCCTCAACTTAGATGAAAAAAAATCTCCAGGACCTGATGATATACCCAATGCATTTCTAAAAAGATACGCGGAGTGGTGCGCCAAATTCCTTGTTATTATTTTTACTTTGTCTCTTTCAACTGGCGTCCTGCCGGAAGATTGGAAAGTGTCCAAAATTAAACCCCTATTTAAACAAGGGGATAAACAGTCAGTTACGAATTACCGTCCTATAGCTTTAACCAGCACTTGTTGTAAATTATTAGAGCATATCATTCATAAGCACATATCTACTTTTTTAACAACGCATTCGATTCTCTCTTCAGCGCAACATGGTTTTAGGCGCGGCTTTTCCACTGTGACCCAACTTGTCGAAACCGTACATGACTTCGTCGTGACTATCAATGACCGTAAGCAAACAGATGTGATATTTATAGATTTCGCGATAGCGTTCGACAAGATATCTCATGTAAAACTAATGATCAAACTACGTGCCATTCTTAAAAATGATAAACTTTGCAGTTGAATTAAATCATACCTTACTTCTCATTACCAATATGTCATCTTCAGCGACACTCCTTCTAAAATAGTATCTGTCACTTCGGGTGTACCCCAGGGTTCGGTTCTGGGTCCGTTGTTATTTATTCTTTATGTTAACGACATTGTTGACGAGCATGACATGAAAATTAGGTTGTACGCTGATGATTGTCTGATTTATTCTGCTGTAGACTCTTTGGATGACCAGATTAACCTTAATTTGAAGCTGAACGATGTTATTCAGTGGTGCAACACATGGCAGATGTCTGTTAATTATAAAAAAAGTGCTGTTATGTCAATCACAAACAAGAAGCAACCCCTTATTTTCAATTACACAGTCGAGAATAACGTTCTAACGCGAGTAACTGAGTATAAATACCTTGGTTTACATATATGTAACAACTTGCATTGGAATAAACACATGACAAACGTTGCAAATCAATCAATGTATAAACTTCTCTACTTGAAAAGGTCTCTCAGAAATGCTCCAACAAGCGTAAAATTACTAGCCTATAAAAGCATCGTGTTACCTATTCTCGATTATGGAAATGTAATTTGGGACCCTTTCACGGCGGCTAACTTATCTAAATTAAATCGTGTACAAAATAAAGCAGTCCATTTTATTGTTAATTGCTATGGCCGCGCATCAGTTTCGGAACTGACAGTCAAGGCTGGTTTATTGAACATTGCAGACAGAAATAAATTATGCCGCTTGCGCTTTCTTTTTAAATTTGTGAAGAACCTTCTCAAAAGCGATACTCATCAATACTTAACGTATTTTTCTTCAGGTCATTCATCCCGCCACCGTCACTCGCTGAACTTAACCCCCTTCCAGCCGAAAATCAATGTCTTTAAGTATTCTTTTTTTCCAAGAACAGTGAAAGAATGGAATAGCCTTGAAAGTCATGTTGTCGAGCAAACTGATATTAACAAATTTGAAAGCCTACTTGACTTTTAAACTTTTCTGTCTTGTTGATCACTTGATACGTGTTCTGGTTCTCGGTGTATATTGCACTCGCCGGACAATAATGTGTACTCTTCTTTTTGCAGTGTGTGTTGTTGCAATGCGTGTATCGGTTTCTTCTTTCCTTTTTTGTGCCCTACGCAAGATTTTATTCACGCGCCACTGTGAATTGGCAATCAGTTCAATCTGGTTGTTTTTTTTTTGCTTATGTTATACGTTCGTTAAGTCTGTTCATTGCCAAATGTAGCACACGTTTCTTTCCACCCTGCTACGACCCCTTAACTGGGGTCAGCAGTGTTGTAAATAAATAAATAATAAATAAATTACTTGCAATGCCTAATTACAATAAAGGCACCATAGCTGCTATTTTTATGTGCAGCAGCACTGCAACTATTGCAATTGGACTTGAAAAATCATTTGCTGTTTAGACTGCCACATTCTTTTTGTTTCTTTTGTTTGTTTGTTACTACACTAAAGGTATACTCCCTTTAAGACACGGCTTCTAACAAACATCACTTAACGCTGTAAATGTGGAGATTTGCCCTAGATTTAGGAGCACCGTAATATTTCAATGCTTGCACGCTGAAAACTGTTCCTGGTAAAATATTTATAAAATTTTCTTGTGCTGCTTGTAAGCATTGTGTCAGCACAACAAAACACTTTGTGCAGCAGAACTCGACTGGATTGAACTCTGATAAATTGAGTTCAATGCTTTAACATCAATGCATAAGAAAGTACATTGCTGCATTGAATAAATGTCCCCAGAACACTTGATGCATCGAATGTCGTACAGCGCAAAATACCCCAAGAAGACAGCTTTGCCTTACATAAAGGGAATTTTTGCACACGTAAGGTGACTTTCCCGTACACAATTCAGGGAGTGAGCAGTGTGATGAAAGGCACCGCATTAAGCGAACAGAAACTATTGCTTGCATTACACGTTTCCTGTGGTTTATCATCATTCCACTGATCGGCCTGTTGTGCGGGGTCGCCTCTTTTCTTCTCGTCGATCTCTCACTCCCTTCGTTAATGTGATAGCTGCCATGAAATGGCGGAACGTGCTGTTTTCCACAAAGCTGGCTATGATCAATGCAGTAACACATAAAGAAAAGAAAACTGACATTGCTGCTGACTACAGTATTCCAAAGAGCACTCTGTGCATGATCTAGAACAAGGCTAGAGGCTTCAAACGCCTGATGAGTATCCACAGCTTTGTATGTAGATGTTGAAGCGCTGTTTGCATAGGTACTGCATTTTCATCGTGATAACTTGCCCCTGCATGTAACCCACAACCTCGTCTACAAACCACACAACGTATTTACTCGCATAATCCTCGCACATTTTTTTGCCGGAAAACCGATGCAAAGTTGGGGGGTGCGAGAATTACGCAGGGAAAAGAGCGAAAAAGAGAACAAAGTGGCCGCATATTGGGATTCTCACATCAGCAACTAACAGCAAGCTTTAAGAAGTACTATTTAAAGCTTACCTCAACAATAAAAGCAGAGGTTTAACACAAGACAAGATTTATTTGAGACACAAAAAGTGGAAGCAAGTAGTCGAGAACTAGGATACCATACGCAAAGCTTGTGCATGTTGCGGGCGTAGCGGCAGCGTTCGTCGCTCAACAGGAGCCCTCAAAAGGTAAGCATAGGATGTCAGTATTGGGCTGATGGTCATTTAATAGAATCGTCCTCAGTTTCCTTCTGAAGAAATAAAGTTTACCATCAATCCCAGTTTTAGGCACACGGCAGGCCCAAGCGTCTTGGTGGCTTGCAGCTGCCGTCACCAGTAGCAAACACAAAACTCGTAGACTCTGAAGGGCCTACCAACGGCCCTGTTGCCGTTGTTTAGTGCATGATCTATCACTTTCAACTTGAAAGCAGCCGTGTAGCTTCAGTATCGCCTCAAAACGTGACAAGATTACCGACACAACATACAAAACACGCTGCAACACGCACTGGTCACTTCGGCTAGGCTTGGATTGAATTGAATCTCCGCGCAATAGTACGCTTGATGGTTAAGAGATGGCGCATGCTATCATCATCAGTGGCTGGAACGAGCAGACGGCATTATTGCGGCGATTTTCGGGGGTGTGATAATTACTCGAGGAAAAAAAGAAATTGTATTTTTGTTGGGCGATGTGGGGGTGCGAGAATTATGCAAGTGCGAGGATTACGCGAGTAAATACGGTAGTGTATTGTCTAAGGCACCTAAGCTGCTATTTCTATGTGCAGCAGCACTGCAACTATTGCAATTTGACTTGAAAAATCATTTGCTGTTTAGACTGCCTAGTTTTTTTGTTTCTTTTGTTTTTCTAATACACTTAAGGTATACTCGCTTTGAAACACGGCTTCTAACAAACATCACTTAACGCTGTGAATGTGGAGATTTGCCCTGGATTCAGAAGCACACCGTGATATTTCAATGCTTGCACGCTGAAAACTGTTCCTGGTCTACAGCAAAATATTTGTAAAATTTTTTTGTGCTGCTTGTAAGCATTGTGTCAGCACAACACAACACTTTGTACTGCAGAACTCGACTGTATTGAACTCTGATAAATTGAGTTCAATGATTTAACATCAATGCATAGGAAAGTCCGTAGCCGCATAGAACGAAAATCGTCAAAACACTGGATGCATCGAAAGTCATACAGTGCAAAGCACCCCAAGAAGACAGCTTTGCCTTGCATAAAGGGGACTTTTGCACACGTAAGGTGACTTTCTCGTACACAATTCGGGGAGTGAGCAGTGTGATGGAGGGCACCGCATCAAGCGAGCAGAAACTATTGCTCGCATTACACGTTTCCTAGGGTTCATCGTCATTCCACTGATCGGCCTGTTGTGGGTGGTCGCCTTTTTTCTTCTCGTCGATCTGTCACTTCCTTGGTTAATGTGATAGCTGCCTTGAAATGGCGGAACCTGCTGTTCTCCACAAAACTGGTTATGATCAATGCAGTAACACATAAAGAAAAGAAAACTGACATTGCTGCTGACTACAGTATTCCAAAGAGCACGCTGCGCATGATCTAGAACAAGGCTGACTTAGGCCTAGGTGGCCTAGAGGCTTCGAATGCCTGATGGGTATCCACAGCTTTGTATGTAGATGTTGAAGCGCTGTTTGCATAGGTACTGCATTTTCACCGTGATAACTTGCCCCTGCATGTAACCCACAACCTCGTATACAAGCCACACACAAAAAAAAAGAATAGTGTATTGTTGTAAAGCAGCCTTCGATCCAATACTGTGAATTAGTGCCATGAAGGTATATATCGAATATGATATATTGAACTAATTCTTATATGTTTGCGAGTTCAATATACGCGGGCTTCACTGTATGTAGCAGGCTGTGACCTTACCTCATTGGCGAGTGTGAAGGTGCCCCAGTGCACTGCCAGCGAGGCACGGCTGCGTACATCCTTGTGAATGAGCACAGCTTCCTCCGGGTTTACGTGTTGATACTTCATGAACCACCTGAAATGTATGCGGTGAGGTATGTACGTTAATGCTATAAGGCTATCTTATGCCAGTTGTAATATAAATAGCAGCCTTTCTCAATACAATTTGCTACTTATTCACTGAAAAGCGTTCACCAGAGCTAATAAGTGAGAAATTTGTTTAAAATTATGTCAACACTCAACTTAAGCTGAACGTTAATGCCATATTCTGCAGCCACAAATTGCTGAACCTGCGGGAAGCTGAGCAATCAGTGCTCCTACTGCAGAGAAGACCATTTGAGAGATCCGAATAGAACAACCCCTTTTACGATAGACATGGTTCACGATTTTAGAGCTCTCGTCGGTGTGCACTATTCAAGAAGCAGTAGCTTCATGCAGACATCTTTTACAGACGTCTGCAACGACTCAGCTGTTGGTGTAAGACATTTCTATGATCACAAAGTGGGAAGCTTTTGAAGATCCTAAAGGCGATCCACCAGATTTTGAAGATGAGTGCACGCCGAAGACGACAGTTCCAGACCTAATAATGTCATCACCATTATGCATGAAAGCAAGACTAGGCTAGTCCATTACGCGAATAGAAATAAAAGAAAGCCCAAAAGAACACACAAGCAAGCCCCTTGTACAGGCCTCTGCTCTTCGAACAAGCTGCTGACATTAAGGTTGAAGGGAATGCGGACGAAACAGCTTATTTTACCTAAGATGTAAAACACCAAGACAAGTGTCAAAACACGAATGAGACAACCTAAACAAAAGCAGACAAAGAAGGCTCATCCTTTGAAGGCAAACACAGCTGAGATGAAGAAATCGAGGAAACTCATCAGAAATAGCTACTGCAGGCCCTCATGGACTACTTTGTGTAACGGATGTTTATGGCAATTAAAATCGATCATCGACCGCACAAGTTCATTGAAGGCAATGCATTAAAAAGCACCAATATGGAACAAGCGTCGGACACGTCACTGGAGGGCCAGGCACAGGTGGAAACCCACATTGATTTCATGGATTGACTTGGACCTGGTACAAGAACTCATGAACAAACAATGTGTACTTAGAACTCGTGTGTTAGTGTTCTTTGTTGCCAGTTGTTTAGTTCACCACACATCATAGGCCTAGGTTGCACTCAAAGCAGAAACACCACAAGAGCATTGTTTTGTTCTTCATAGTAAAAAAAAATATTGAATGGAATATTTGGAACTGAAGCATTGGAGAAAGCCTAATTCATTTACAACTATGAACTGTATTGCAGGCAAATATAAATATAGGTTGAGTGACAGCGATTCAATGAAACAAACTAATAGTTCGATGTAAAGAAATGAAGTGCAGTAAGTTCATTTCATCTAGCGCAGTTTTATAAATAAAGATGCATTTGTACATGCATATATTTACAACATTAGAATTGTGCAACTGCTCCATGTTAGACACAAAAATATTTGCGTTTGAAAACGTGGGGCTAATAACTGCTATCAAAGGCTCATTTGCTGCTCCAAAGTGGCATTTTATGTGCTCCAGGAGATGCACCAAAATGGCTTCGATCAAAATGACATGACTACACTTAAGTGTAGAAAGAGAAAAAAAATCTGAATTAATTACCTTAGCATTGTCCTACTTGGGGAATTATTACTTTACTTCTATATGATCTTCAGTAACATCAGTAGCCAGATAGAAATCCTTCATTTAAATGTTTTGCAACACTGCCATTAACTTTACAGTTGAAAACTTGCCTAACTATCAGATTGGTTTTCTGCTTCCAAACTGTATGCATAACAATATGAGACTCGATAAAACTTCATAGCTATAATGCACAGCCAGCAGCAGCACATACCTGTTCATTTAACTGGCACACAACCCATTAAATTATTTTTTGGGTATTGTAGATATGCCCTTGGGACACACTGCACAGCTTTAGAATGCACAGCCAGCAGAAGCACATACCTGTTCATTTAACTGGCACACAACCCATTTAATTATTTTTTGGGTATTGCAGATATGAGCTTGGGACACACTGCACAGCTTTAGAACTAACTGTTGGTACTCCTATAAGTTAGATAAAGAAAGGTGTGAATGAGGTGGACAAGTGTTTGTACTCATATGTTCCTTATGCTGATTATTATGGCTTCATTTGCTGTGGTTAACAAGCGGTACAGTTAAGTTATTCAGTGTTTTCACCTGGGTTCGTAGGCTCCGATGGGAATGGCGGCCAGGTCAAAAGGTCCATATCTCTGGCCAATTTGCTTGAACACGTCACAGTAGCCTGTGTCGCCCGCAAAGTAGAATCGGTACTCTGGGCTGATCACACACCAACCTCCCCACAGCACCTGCAATGGCATGGCAATGACAAAATAATGGCAATGCAGCTGTAGCTTTGTAATGCTCGCTCAAGCACTCATATCGCAACAATAATAACATGACCAATAATAGAACTGAATGAAATAAACTGAAAATGTTTCTTGGCTGCATCACTATTACATTGCAAAAGTAACAATAAACTGAAACAAAAAATAAGTTAGATTAAAAAAATATTCTTTTAGAACTCTACTGCAATTGGTTTTGTCATCATACAACCATTGTCAGAACGAAAATAGGAGATCAAGGTTTCACTTTTGAATTTTGAACCAACCTTGGGCGTCAGCAGGAGTTTGTCTTGACGGGTGCAAAACCGTGCTGCATTATGATGAGAGCGGAGAAGGGGGGGGGGGGGGGGCACTGGTGTGGCTCTTGGGATGGGGGGGATTGCTTGTGTAGCTTGATGGGGTCAAGTATGTCCCTTTTGCAACCCCCTGCCAAGGCCCATGGCACCAAAACTTGAGTATCTGAACATTAGTTAGACATCACAGATTTAGATGCGTTTCTTTCAAGTTTTGGCCATGTCAGCAAAATAAAACTTGCTATACCTTTACGTCCTTTAAGAACACAATAAGGAAAACGTCTGTGGCTCTTTTAGAACACAATGATATTATTTTTAGTTGAAAACAATAGTGTGATCCCCAGCAGGCACCATCAAAACGTGTGACGTCACAGCGAGTTGGTGCGAGAACCTCAATGCAGTGTGGCCGCCTGCATTTTATTTTTGCATTTCATTTTTTTTTTCACGTGCAAAGATTCTCATGTGGCAGAAATGCTGTCCATGCTATTGTGAAAAATAAAAAAGTTTGCTAAAGTCGTTTGTACCTTCATTACGATGAAGTACATATGCGTTTTGTAGCAATTTTCTGTAATCGCCTCGTGAAGTGATTTTTTGATGAGGACTGGAGGGTGAGTACATTGAGAATATAGGGGCAGCCAACTGTCTTACGGAAAAACACTTTATATGTCACTTTAAAAATGTGCTAAGTCATGAAGACAGTATTGCAGGAGGGACAGCACCCATTACAAAAAAGTCACAATTTTGCCATAAGTATAATATCAAAAAATTAGAATGTTATGCAAAGTAAGGCTAGCAGCTAAATTCATTAAAATTCTATCTGGAGGAACTTCTACAAAATTCTGGCATAGAGAAATACAACCACTCCAGGGAACAGACCAGCTTTCATGCTCTCAGTCGCTTTAACATGAAACAACTGGTAAGGGCATTGCACGTATGTATGAGCTGTCTACTGATCTCACGTGATTAAGTGCATACTATTTTGATCAAAGTGGGTGATTGCTGTCTGAGCGATGCAGCACCCCGGCGCCCCTTCGTGCTCCTTTGCCCAATGAAGTCGACTGGCGCATATCATCTCTGCTTGAGCTGATCCCATCGGCACCGTTTGCGATATTTCACTCGCACATAGCGCATATAACACACAGGGCAATGTTATTAGTTTGCACTTTATATGTATTTTATATGGCACCAACAAAAACGCGCTTAGAGTGTTCATATAATCACTACTGCAATAATACATAAAAGCTGTGCACATATAGAATAAAATATGATGACACTGATTGATAAATGTAGTTGACTAGACGACTTACTGTATAAAGTAGACAACCAGTGGTGCAGTTGGAGTTACAGAATAAGTGCTTTGGGAAGCAAACGCAGTTGGGGATGATAGAAAACAAGAGTTTGTGGTGAGGTTGAATAAATTCAAAGGCCAAACATCGAATCAGACAATGCTTGACAGAGGTAACGTGAGATCGAGAAGGAAAGCCTCTGCTTGGCTGTGTGCACATGCTGATTAAGGTACGGGTAGAGTAGAGCACGTGAAATTTAATATCACATTTGTAAGACGTGAAGTCAGTTTTAGACTGACATATCAACCTCTAAACTGACTTTTCTAAAGTTTCAGTGAAATATTGTTAATTGGTGAAAAAACAAAACAAAATGTCAGTCTTCATTAAAATTTGTTTTGTTTTGATTGTGGTGTTATTATATCAGTTCCATGAATTTCAGTGTATTTTAGCTGCCTTCAAACAGCACTTTTTTTTTGACAAAGCAGGAAGGTGTCTTCATGTAGTTTTCCATGCTCCATTGACTGTTTAGTTAGGCCGCTCAAATGTCTGACACATTCTTGGGTCAATAAGAAACCCAGCCTGAACAGCTGTCATCGCATTATATTCTTACGTGCAGAGGAGACCGAGACATGTACGGCTGAAGGGCCAGTTTATTCGGTCGCGAAAGTGAGCGAGTGCAGGAGCAGCCAACTGGTTGAATTCTCCAGCGTCGTCTTCAGTCTAGCTGTGGTTTGGGGCAGCCAGCACGTTTACTCGTCTTCATTTCGCTCGATGATAAATGCAACATTTCTCTCCTTACAGACGAAGCCCGCCGGTCGAGTTAAGGGATTCATCTTGGCGTGAAGAACTTCAAGCGAGCCATATAGAGAGCTTGGGTTTTAGCAGCTCTTCAACCACTCGCCAACAGGCGAGCAATTATGTACCTGATCTCGGTGAGTTTGTTGAGAACAACAAATGGTCCATTGTATGTTGACAAGAACTTCTGACACAACCCGCGCTTTCGAACTGGCTTCCATAGCTACACTAAGCCCCCGCGGTGATAGGTTACAGGATGGTGGCAAATGTTCTAGCGTGTTTTCAATCTGTCTTGTGATGCCAAAGTTCGTAAACGAGCGATACGACACGCCTCTTCGGAAATGCAGAAAGTTTCACAGACTGTGAGGTTCTCGTGAGAAAAAAAAGGCAAAACTGTGTTGAGGGTGTGCCACGGCGGACATGCGTACAGCAAGAAGAAATGACTGTAGTTAGTAGTCTCATGCGTAGCAGTGTTGAATGCATACATTATGAAAATGAGTATGTCATCCAAGTTATTGTGGTCGATGGAACATACATCAGTTGTACGGTTGGTGCACTCCCGAAGTCCATTTGTTGGCGGATGGTAGGGGTGTTGAGTGACGCAAGTGCGAGTCGCACAAACGTAGCAGCTCTTCTGCCATATTCGCTGTGAATTGTCGTCTGCGGTCACTGATGATCATGCCTGTGGACCATGTCGGACAATGACATGTCGCAGCAGGAACGGCGAGACGTCCCAGGCAGTTCGGAGGGCAATGCCACTGTCTCACAATAGCGCGTGAAATATCGGGAAAGGGCTTATGAAGTTAATGCCCACTTGTTGGAAAGATGTTCATGGTGGTGGAATCAGCTGTAGGAAACCAGCTGGAGCAGTAATATATTCGTAGCAACTTTTAGAGATTGCATTAAACGGGATGACACCCAATTTTCGGTCATAATATGTACTGTGGTAATCCCCACAGTACAGATTAGTATGACCAAAATGTATCCTTGTGCGTTTACAAACAAGCTGGGAAAATTTCAGTGCTTGTGACAGTGCACTTAACTTATGATTAAATATTCGAGTGTGCTCTAAGAATCTAGCAACAGTAATGGGCTTGCTAGTCATGATGCACCAGCTGATTGCTATGCGGGCGTTAGCATTCCAGCAAACGAAATCATTTCCTGGTTGGCAGTACATGCAATCAAGCTTTACAGTCGGTTCGGCTTGCCATTGTTTTTAACAATTTAGAGCAGCTGAGCAATGCCACGGGGTGCAGCAGCAATACAATGATAAGGTGGTTAATTTGGTTGCTGATGACGACTGTGCTCCATGCAGCATACAATGTCACACATGCCAATGCAACATGGTGGTTGCCGACAGTGGGCAGGGTTTTCAATAAAGTGTGTGACTTATAGTGCTGATTATGAACTGAATTATTGCTGCACAGTCCATTTTTCATGTATGTATATGCGCACTAAAGCCTCTGTTACTTTTCGCTGAAAGCTGCAAATTATTGGGTGACAGTGTCGTGGCCCCTTTAAAAGTATTTTATTGCGATAGCAATCATATGGACACTTTCGGCTGGATTTTGCCGCCAGCATCGGCGTCACTCACCATATATGAATGCATATAAATATATATATATATATATATGAAAATGTAAGAAAGAAAAAAAAAACTGAAAAAACTGTGGTGTGCGAAATCAAAATGGAATCCTCTGAATAGTAATGCGAGGCATTAACCACTGCGCTAACAAGGAGCACGTCCGTCAACGTTGAAACGGCAAGCTCTTTATATCTACCACTTACCGCTGCTGATGGGCATCTCGGGGGGGGGGGGGATTGTGTTTTTGGCATTACCAGCAAGATGGCACAATGAGCATGCATCGCCACATTGCCCGGCGCATGCGCTAGTCTTTCACGCGTACTTTGCTCCGCTTAGAGAAGAGAAGCAACGTTGCCTCATGCACCCTTATCTCATGGTGAGGAGGAGGGGAGGATCATATGCCTTGGTTGGCCTCAAGCTTTACCTGGAACGATTCTGTTGTAGTTACCGGGTGCAAAAAGGTCACTGCAATCTTTGCAGTCTCCGTTTGCAAAAAGCGCGTGCTTTTCAGGCAGTGAAGCAATAACTAAGATGTTTTTTTGGGTGCATCTGTACCTGTGAGCACGTTTCGTGCGTCATTGGTGCGTCAGAAACATGGGACACGTTTGATCTGCTTTCCATTTTGTGTGTTATTTTCCGATTTGTTGCTATCGAGTTCATTGCTTCGCCTTTGCGGCAAAGCTGTGACTTTTCAAGAGTACGAAAATCACTGCCGCTACGTTTTTACGTTTTCAAAAAGGCACGATGGGCTCATTTGTTTAAAGTTTTGTTCAGCAAGGCATCTGACCTTGTTGTCGTCGCTGATAGTGCGTTTGCACCAGTGCTGCGCTGGCACGAAGACAAATGAGAGGTCGTTGTCCTCGGTGGCCAGGTGGCCCTCATGCCACCAGTCGAGCTCCACCACGTTCTCACAGCCCAGCTGCTCCATCCAGGCTGTCAGGCCTAGCGGAACGAACCACCGCAACGTTTCTTCAAACCTGCATTGTCATCATTATCAGTTAGTGTACAGCTATGAAAGTTACAGTTAGAGTGTACAGTGTACAGTTAGAGTCAGATATTAAAAATGTGAAAATGTCTCCCTACAGTCGGAAAACTATTGGTATACACCCTCTTTTTATCCGTCACTCTGACCACCCTGAAAAGGCAGTTCAGGGGAAGATATAAGCTTCAACAGACAGAAGCTTTGTGAGCACAAGGTGTCACTGGAGATGACATTTCGACAAGCAGACTTGTCGTTCATCAAAGCTGCAACAGCCTTGAAGAAGGCAAGTCAGCATTGAAGCCTTGTAGAAAACAAGTTCACTTGCCGGAATGTCGGCTCTGGCTACATGCTGCGTTCACCAAGTTGTCATCTGGCGCCTCTCACAGTTCTTTTTACCAGTACTTATGTTTACGGTGAGACATTAATGTAAGCATAATTAACTTCCCTCTTACATTGAACATATGTGCGTCATGCATGCTATTATTGAAGAGGTGGTGCCATCAAATTTCAAGGCTAAAACAAGCCTCTTGTGGGTTTCCTCTATATGCTAGGACACTCCACACAAATGGTCAGACGCAGCAAATGTTTAGAATATATTTTATTTCACCTCCAAAGTGTACCCACACGTTCCTTCTGCCAACCGAAGCCCATCGCAAGTGCGTCCAGAACTGTCGTATCTTTGTAGGAAGGGCAACAAAAGTTGTAGTGATGTCACACCAGATCTTCAGTTAGCCTAGGTGTGTGCAGATTTCCCTTCAGGGAGACAAAGGTTTGCCGCAGGACACCCCCTCCCCATTATGTCATTGTATGGGACTGACTTTGCACCCTTCCTAAGTCGCACCCCCCCCCCCCTAATAAATCAATGTGAGGAGCTGTGTTTTCACCTCCCTTCGCCTGTAGGTAATTACAGGAGTGGCCGCCCCTTGCCCCCCCTTCCCATGCGCACGCCAATTGTAGTGAGGCGAGTGACCTCAGGAGACCTTCGCCACGTACGTACCGGCAAAGCATCACGACTGCTGCACGTTTATTTTGCAGGTGCTTGGTTGGCACGTGTGTGCGACAGCAGACGATAATAGGCACGACGTGCGTCACATTCTTGTGTAGTCACGGGACCAAGCCACCAACACTTCTACGTCACAGGTCAATTCGTCTTCCAGAAACCAAAAGTTGTTCAGATAGAACAGTTGATACTAATTTATTTAGTGAGAATAAATGAATCTTGGTGCATGTATCATGCTTCCCGGAACTATAAGAAACGCTTGCCACAAAGAACGCGCAAGCCACAAATATGGTAACACCACCCCTTTAAGCGTAGCCTACACGCCCACACCACGAAGTCAGTTGAGGGTTGATATAATGATGCTAATTCATTCTGGATGTCTTGGATGAATATGGCAGTGGCGATCTTCTACTTATCAGTCTACACTTCATCACTGAATTTGGGAGAATCTCATTACTTTGCAATTAATACTTGAGGCCGCTTTCTGAAATCTCAAAGCTGCAATGGGTTCATTGAATAAAGAACTTAAAATCGCCCACCTGACTTCATTGCCTAACTTTATAATTAACAATCTAATTAATTTAACTTAATTAATGATCCAAATGATGTATTCAACCATCTTAACATGCCTGTGGCTGTAGAAAAGCCAAATGTAAAGACAAGGAACGAATACCGCATTTTTTAATTTTTTGAAGATATCGGGCACACTTCTTGAAATACCCGGTATAATTCTCCTGGTAAAGGCACGTGACAGAATCATTGTATTCTGTTAAACTCCAGCGCAGCACTGTCACAATTTTACAGAAGCTTATCAAAATTTTTTTATTAAATAGTGTGAACCACCACTGTTGCAAAAATCATTCTATGCTGTCTCTATTTTTCTTTGGTGCTACAATGAGACAATGGAAAGAATGTTTCCTACCTTCACAAGTGTTACTTGAGCGAAACAAGAAATTTTCACATGAAACAATAATGAATAGATGTCATAAAAAACTGTGCATACTCTGTTGCCACAGAATCTTTCACAACGCTCTGTGCACTCTGGGCATATTGGCAACTGCATGATATGCTTGATCATTTCGCATCAGATGTGGCTTCAGAATCTTAGTAAATGCTTTGAAAAAAAAAAAAAAAAAAAACAAGAAAAGGCATAACTTATGTAACTTATTCTGCGTGAATTGAGAATACAGCGTGTCCCAAATACCACGAAGCACAGTTTCAATATAGAAGAATAATGTTACATGAAATACTCCTTGTGTATATTGTTTCCAGTTTGCTGCAGTAACCACCACTAATTTTTTGTTAATGAGGTTCACCTTATTAGTCTTAAATATGATTCTAACTTGGCAAGCACTCACCTAATCATTCAAATGTCAATGAGGCATATGTAGGCATGCTCAAATGACATCTAACTGCGCTGTTTTTAAGCAACATACTAATTATATGCTCATTTTTTCCGACTTATAAAGAAAGCACACGAAATATGAGGAATAATGCATGACTACGCTTCCACCCGCCAAAGGTGGGAGCACATTCTTGACTTGCTACGTCACAGTGATCCTGATTGGGGCACTGCTTGCTGATGTGCACTACAGTATGGTCATGTGTCATTTTTCAGATTTCGTGGGCTTTGTTTATTAACCAAAAAAAAAGCGAGCATGCAATTAGCATGTTGTTGAAAATAGCGCAGTGTGACATCATTAGAACGTGCCTACACATGCCTTGTTGCCATTTTAATGATTAGGTGAGTACTTCTGTTAGAAAACATAATGAACACTAGTAAACCAAACCTCATTGATGAAAGAAAGTAGTAGTGGCGGCTACAGCATACCGGGAACAACCTCAGCCCCCCAGTATTGTGGCCTAACAATGTGCCATTGGCAGTGTGTTCTGATGTGCATCTATCAGGGCAAAGTCCTGTACAGTGAACAAGTGCAGCTGTGTTTCAATCAAAGAATGCTCGAAAGCTCTTGAGTAGTGGTGTGCGAGTGCGCATTCATTTTATATTTGGTGTGTTTCAAATGCTCTCGTTGTTGCTCGGCAAAAACAAACATGCAGATTCCAGCACAAAATAAATGCTTCATTCTGCAGTTATTTGAGGGAGCCTGTAACTTAACGTTATTATTTGGAATAAAAAGTTAAAGATAGTTATTTAGTGCTTAGTAATGAAAACATGCATGCTGTAGCACATACACACGACTTCCATTTAAGCAGCAAGTAAAAATTTGAGTGCATCATGAAAAAAATCTTGGTTTGAGTTAGCTGGGACACCTGGTAAATACTTGCATGACCAGAAATATATATAAACGAGCAGGCTATCCCAGACTTCACTTAATTTAAAACCACGTTTTGTGACAACTCGATGGAGCTCTCTCAAAGGAGGACACTGCTCACCTGGCATTGAGCTGGTGTACGGTGTTGAGGTCTAGGTGGTCGTAGTGGTTGTGGGAGATGACGACCGCGTCAATTCGAGGCAGGTCGGCAACAGTGCAGGGAGCCTCGCGGAAACGCTTGGGCCCCAGTAGCTGGCTGGGCGAGGCGCGCTCGCTCAGCATAGGGTCCGTCAGCACATTGACGCCTTTCATCTGAAGCAGCGCTGTGGAGTGGCCGAGCCACGTGATGCGCACTCCCTCCATGGGCGGATCCTGGAACCGAGGCTTCAGCACCGGCAACACCAAGTCCAGCTCCTGCGAAGGAATCATCCCAGTGGCTACTTTGTGAGGCACGTAGACAATCTGTTGCTCACTTGTGAAAAAAAAAAAGAAAAAACACGGCATCAAATTCAATGTGACTTGCTCGCACCTACGTACAGCAGGGCTTCCTTGCATCAGCTTGTGTTCATTGCCTTTCAGCCCCACAATGTGCCCCCCCACAGAAAATGCACAGACTCGATTTGTAGACCACAGAAGTACTTGCTGTTGACAGTCATTAGTTCATAGGATGCACTACTTCACTGTAATGTGCTTAGATGATGCAATAATTGTGAAGATAACCAAATAAGCATAGCTGGCATTGGCATGACAGGAACACTGTGAGGTGACAGTGGCCGAATGATCAGAGCATCACGATGCCATGGGATTTCGACCACACTAGCTAACCGTGAGCTGTGCACATAATTTAGCTAAAGATGAAAGTGAGACAACTGTCGGCCCTGACGCTTTTGTTAAAATTCTTGTTTGCTTCAATACTACGTGCTGATATATTTATGAAAATTTCAGCAAGAATCAAGCTTTACTGAAGGTGTATAAGCATGAAGCCTTGGCTGTAGAAAAGCAAAACACAACGAAGAAGAGCTGGAAATGAAGAATGCACCTGCTTTGGAGGCACGTTGCTGTTGTCGCGCGACAGGCCAAACTTGAAGATGTTAGTGACCGTGGGAGGTCGCCACGTTGGCCATGGGTTCTGGAAGCGTCCGTTCACGCACACGGAGCGTTGAAGGTTGGCCTGGCCTTCGGGATGCAGCAGTGTGTTGCGTTTAATGGTGTGGACACCTGGGAGGTCACCTCCACTACTACGCCCACTGGGCACCTGAGCAATGTGAAAAGAAGAAGGTCGAAAGGCTAGTCAAGAAAACAAGTAGCAAAAAATATTGCAGCACACTCAAACCTCATTATAACAAACTCTCATATGCCACAGAAATACTTTTGTTATATTCAAGGAAAGAAGTGGTCACTTGAGGACCCACTTTCTTTGTTAAACACAATATTAATGAGATCTAACAGACCATTATGCCAAGGAAATATCCAAAAATGGGTTATAAACGACTTGCAACACTGTATCTATGGCAAAGCGTCACTTCGTTATAACCTATAATTCGTTACATCGAGGTTCGAGTGTAATCGGTTCGCTCACTGGTGCACGTGTTGTGCATAGAAGAGCAATACAAACAATTCAAATTGAGGTTTAAACATTCAAACGCTCTACATTGCGCTTTGAGAGGCACTGTAACAAGCAACTCTGCATTAGGTTTGACCATAATGTCATGTTGGCTTAAAGGAGTGTCAACATATGTGTATTGGACTATCCACATTCAATGAGATATAATTTCCGGGACCTGAATGCCATAGAAAACATACTGCCATGCTTCAGAACACCCCAAGTAATTCACTATAACAGCTATCTTTCCAAAACAAACGTTGGTATAGTTTCCAGAGGTTATCTTGTGTTGCCACATCAACACCCAGCAGTAGGTGGTCACGTGGAAGCAGCACAACGCCTCAGTTCTGTCACTTGCTCCGGCACACTTGGTCATTGCTCCTACATCAATCTTTATCGCAAGCAAAATAATTGGCCTGCTTAGTGGTTGATTCATCAATATGCCCACTATATTTTAGTTAAGCTTTTGCATATATGCACCATGTGAGTCAAGTAAATGCTACCTTAGCCTTTATGTTAAGTAATCACAGACGATCATTCCTGATACATTTTGGCATACGTCAACAAGTGATTGTGCACTCAAGGAAAACAAAAGCCAGAAGGAAGGAGCAGCCAAAACACGCAATGCTTCAATCTCTTTACATGATGCAGCTCTTGTGTACTATCGGAGCAGACTACATGGCAGATTTTGGTCTGTCTGTCTGTGTGTCTTTTCTGCTTTTTTGTCTGTCACCCAATTCGGTAGAATGGCAAAAGTTTAAGACCCTCCTAAGCGACCAGCCATCTAGATCTGGTTTCTGCATTCATACGTTCTGGAAAAGTCAAGGAATTTGGACCCTTTTGGAAAAGTCATGGAAAAGTCAGGGAATGCCTCAAAAACCTGGCCAGGTCACGGAAAGTGACAGCAGTTCTGTGCGGCCGTCACAAAAATAAGCTACACCATTGATCAAAGCTTGAAAAGTCTCCCTCTCAGGTGCAACTACAGTAAGCTGCTAGAAGGCATGTAAAAAAAAAAAAAAGGAGACAGTGCACTAGCTATTGCTTCTAAACGCGAAGGGATACACTGACCCATGAAACACAAAGTTTACTGATGTTCTGGCACCCGATATGGGAGAAAGTGTTGTACACAATAAAGGCCATAAGAAAGGCACACCTTACTTAAGTACACCTAAATACGTGACGTAAGCAGTGAGAGTACATTGTCAGAAGCATTCCATCACTCCTGTTCAGCGTATGTACAGTTGTCTGTACCTGGATTCCAGGTGTCAGGCATGCTGCAAGCTGCTTTTAAATGCGGAGCTGCTTTTGAATGTCCCTCCTCCACTCTATCGCCTCGCAAGGCCGACGCAGCCTAGCGTCTGCTAGTAAAAACTGACTGCTTAGCGCTGCATGACCGTTCACTGACCAACTCGTGTATGTAGGCATAGGATCAGGCATTTGGAATTCAGTCAAGGGCATCTTCACTTGACTTTCGCTTGACTTGACGCTTTGCTTGACTTGAGCAGATGCGATGGAAGCAACGGTACTTTCAACAAGCAGTGGGGCACAACACAACCCAACAGTGTCCCACCACTCGTTGAAAGCAATGCTTTTCCTTCATTCAATAAATATGAATAATAAAGATGAAATAACAATTAAGCATTCCCAAACCTTAGCCAATTATGCAACATTACTCAAGCATTTACTCGAGCGGAAAGATGCAGGTTTTTTCCTTGTTTAGAACACACAAGTTTTACAAGTCAATTTGGTCGTCTGTAGATTCTGTGTGTTCACAGTCGAGGTTACACGTTGTTTCGTGGCATCATATTTGTGTTGTTTAACTTTTACCAGTTTCACCGATCTACTAGTTCTCGCAATTGTGGCAGCCTATGGCTTAAACAAGACTAAGAAAATTTCTGCTCGGGAACTTGTCCTTCACATTGGCTAAAGCATTTCTTAGCTTCCATGTGGGTAAATCCACTATTTTCATCTGCTGCTTCTACATATTGCACGGCATATCTGACTTTTGAACTACAAGTTTACTAACGCCAGCAAATTTATATATGTTTGTCTATGCCACAATTCCGGCTTGGCTTGAAGGCCACCTGGTTTGTCTAGGCTAGAACTGCCATCAGTAGAAGCTTGCTGGGCTACTCATGTATTTTAATAATAATAATAATAATAATAATAATAATAATAATAATAATAATAATAATAATAATAATAATAATAATAATAATAATAATAATAATAATAATAATAATATATTATTATTATTATTATTATTATTATTATTATTATTATTATTATTATTATTATTATTATTATTATTATTATTATTATTATTGGTGATGCAACAGCAAATGTCCTCAGGTACACACTTATTGCTGGTAGCTCATGTTTCAAGGGTAGCACTTGGGTAACTTCAGCTAAATATTTCATTTCAGTTTCGTGAGATTGTGTAAATAAATCTGCAATTATTTTTCAATGTCAGGTCCACAACACAGAGTATGTAAATCAAAGTAATGTGCCGACATCCACGATTCATCAGTGAAATCAAGGAAGCTGCTGCACCTTGACAGATCTAGTCTTGCCACCACATATTCAAACCTCGACACTTTAAATGCTGTTCCCAGCTTTCGTTGCACTCCAAGTATCGGAGCCCTGAGACATAGAATACAAACATGCACATGCTCGTCGGAAAAAGAAAAAAAAGAAATAAAGAAAATTTTGAAGTGTGGCTCTGTTCTTGCAATGTTCTCGTTACTCGTTGCCAAGGCAAGATACACAGAATACGCGAGTAGTATTTATCATTCTTTGCTGAAAAGTATATTTTAGAGCTGCACAAATTAGGCGATGAGGCGAACCAATAGTAAATACAGCAATCTAGGTCGAATCAGATCTAATCCAATCCATATCCTAAATAGTTGAGTCAGTAAATACAGCAGTTCATGTCGATGTAGTTCAATTCAATCCACATCCTTAAGTAATGTGGACTACAGTCATTATAGTAAAATAGATTATACTCCAGTGGCAGATGGAATCTATATCTCTCGTAGTGCCTACACACCGATTTTTTCGCGCACAACATGAAATAAACGTTTTGTTCTCTCTTTCAAGACAGAAGACTATCGTCTGTTGACAACCTTTGCCAGCGAAACAGGCAGATACGGCGCCAGTCTTTTCAATAAAAGAGCTCGCTACCAGACACTGCCTGCATGGCATTGCGAGGCGAGAGAGGGGGAGTGTAAAAGAAGAAAGAGAGGACGGATAGGACGCACATACACTATGGGAGTGTAAACGCCGCAGGGAGGAATGCCTAGACTAGAGCAAGGGGGGAGCGAGCGTAGGTTAGCAGACGCTCCCTGCATCGGCGTTGTGAGGCGAGAGAGGGGCGAGCAGACGCTCAGTAGTGGTCACCCCACACACTGGATTGAGCTCGACCTTAAGCTGCTTCACATGTAAAAGGCCGGTTGTTACATGTTATGTTGATGAAAAACAGGGCAAAAGTGCGGCACTTGTTTTGCATGCTACTTCCACTCTGTGCCATTTTCGGGCTGTTTTTTCACAGATTGTACAGAATAATTTTTGTTACGGACTTACAGGAGTTCTTACCCTGGGCGTTCCAGGGTCGTTTGGATCGGCCCGACTGTCAAATGTGAACTGATCCGACCCCGAGGAGCATATTAAGGAACAGCGGCGAATGACGGCGGGCCTCAATTGCTGCTGCTGCTGCTGTTGGAGGTCCCCGCTGCCTAGCGACTGATCCGAGTGGTAGTCCGACGTGTCCGAAGGGCTAGTGGTGCCCGATTTGGGCTGCGGTGACGGTGGCGCGGACCGGCGCGGCTGTGCCTGGCTGTCGGACCGGCGCGGCTGTCCGCTCCGTGACCGTGAGCTCGTTTCACGCATGCTAGAAGCGTGTGGTGACAGGGCAGTCAGCTGCAGAGAAGACGAAACAATAACGTTAAATTTCATTCAACGTAAGTGGCATGTAAGTGGGTGCTCACATTTAGTTGTGTGCACTTGGAGGTTACATAGTTAAGCGTTGAGGGGAGTACACAGTGCAAAAGGATTCTTGCTGTAACAGCATTACAGAATCCAGTGATTCGAAACACAGCACTGAGGCTACATGAAGAGACTAAAGAGCACTAGGAAAATGTTAGTATTTGACGCCACCTAGCATATAAACAATAATAAATAAGCTCCAACAAATTTATGTTATCAATCACAACACGCATTACCATTTTGATATTCACAGTGTTTTTTGAAGGGTCTAAACACATGACCACATCAAAGAAAATTGGAACTAATTTATCTTAGTTTTTCACTATGCTATTGCATAGTGAAAAACAAATATGAATTAAGTTTTTTCTTGCATTGAGTTCGTTTGCATGAATTAGTTGGTTTTACATGCAGTTTTTGCCTGTTGGTTTTCTTGCATGAAAGAAGCAAGTGGAAATTTAAGGGCTTGTTTTTCTTTGTTGGATGCAATGTTAATGAGCATTAACAGACAATGATGCCAAGGAAAGTATAGGGGATGTTATTAGAAGTAATTGTAATGTAAATATCAAGAAAAAAGAAGTGGATGCAAAAATAATATGCCGCTGGCACAGAATGAACCTGTGACCTTCGAATAGCCCATCAGTCACATGAAGCATGCAAGAAAACCTTATTCAAGTAAAAAGTGTGTCAGTCTATAAGGATAATTTTTTTACTTATTTATGAAAGGTCCTCGAAGGATATGAAGTTAAGTATTGCGTAAGGAAACCACGAAAATGAAAATATTGTTATACATATATTCACCAGTATAATAATGCATCTTATACAATAGGTAGTTGTGAAGGTCATATTAAATAATATAATTCAGTACTAGTAAGCAGCTTGTAAATGTACAGGTAATTAAATTTAAAATATGCTGACATGCCATATTCATGCAATCAACTCAAAATTAGCAATTAAATGTGCTCCTAACTCCGGTCGAAATGTCACAGAATTAACAATATTAGTTATTGTCTGGAAGACCGTTCCAATATTTAATTGCATGCGGCAGAGTGGACGAATTAAACCGAACCTGCACTCCGAACTGTCCACAACTGAGATGCAGTATATCCATAATGTAATAACAGGCTATGTGCTACATTTATCGCAAATGAGTATAAATCACACACAAATGTATGAAATGAAAGATGTTGAGGTTGAATTTACTCAGCTAGACAAAAAGGGTTATCAGTCGAACACCTTTGAATGTTAATGAACAAGAACCGCAGAAGGTCATTTGAATATTATCTAATTATCAATGTCTTTTGATTTTTGTGTGCCATTTTCGTTCCAATGTTTTTTTTTTCTGCCACAATGGCTAGTCTTTTGGCCTCACTCATTCACTAACCGTAAAAAATTGTGGACCACGCATTTATTTGCACTGTGGAAGCATTATTAATTAAATAGAACATTCTTATAAAGGACAGGTATCTTTATATGCTGCATATATACATAGTCTGAAACGAAGTACAACAAAATGTGTGAGGATGTGACAAAAACACAAAACACTTAGCTATGTTTGCCCATTTGACATGTATAGAAAGCCGCATCATCAAAGAGCTTCAGAAAAATTGTTTGTCCTGAGTTGTAATAATGTTGCACTTAGCATAAGCATACCAATACATCCTCAAGTTATAATTACTGTTACCATTCCTACAAATGCAACAGTCGAAGCCATGGAACAACGTTCGCTTAGTTGTGGATACATTGAGCGAAATGAAACCTAAAGCGAAGACGCAAAAATTTTGTTGTCAGAAAAAAACTTGCATATTTGGTTCGAAATGGAAAAGCTTGATTTACCAGCTCAGTAAAAAAAAATTAACTGGATCACCTCCATTGAAGTGCTTGCAAACTAACAGCTGAGCGCAAAAATAGCAAACAATTTAAACAATTTTTTTTTTTTGCGTTTGGCTGTGTTGTGCGAGTACAAGGAGTTATTATGTTAGCAACGATCAAAAGAGCTCTAAACTCATCTCCACATGACTGCTCTAAAAAGATAGGAACAAGGCTTTATGCTACTATAGTAAAGGCAAGCTTGGAACCTCGTTGATATTTGTGAATACTTTCGTATGACATTGTTAGTTTTGTAAAAAAAGAACAGGAAGAGCATGGTGAATTTGACAACTGCAATTGTGTGGTTGAAGTTGTTGCTGTCTGCCACATATACAGTGCCTCTAGGTGACGGCTGTTCCGAACTATAAATGTGCCTAGCACTATGGCTAATTTTGACGGATCAGTAAATGCAGTGTGGCATCTGCAATGTCAAGCACTACTGTTCAACTGCATAGCCAGAAATATATATCTTAGGGATGGGGGGGGGGGTGTTCGCTACACTATTTTGCATGTTCGTATGAGCATTTGTCTGTGTTAGTACATGCGTTTGTATACACGTGCGAAATTGAAAAATTAAGCGGGATGTTAAAGTCCCCCGAATGCTATGCCACTGCCACTGTCTGAAAAATATGAAGAAACCTTACAATGGGGTGGTTTATCAGTGCGGTATTCGCTATTTAAGTACGGTAACTAAATTTCTTAAAAACCTCCGTGATGGGAACATGTTGCCATTTACCTGATTGTAACAAGAAGCTTTTGTTCTGTGAAATTCATATGGATTCTATTTGTACTTTCTGACGAAAACAGATGAATGAAATTTTTTTTTGTTTTTTTTTTTCAGGAACATGCCATTCCTTCTGGATAACAGCCTTGTCTTTTAACGAACTACTAGCGACAGCTTCTAAAGTGGTTGTTTGTTTGCCCTGGAAAACAGCTTTTCCTCACACAATTGTGTCGCTGCTGCTCGCACATAAGCTGTCTCATTGTTGCAATCTCGAATAAGAATAGCGCTTCCCTGGCCCCTTCAGCAAACCCGCTTAACAGCTGTTTAGGAACGACAGACTCTATCGAGGTGACCTCCAGCTGAGTCATTTCCCCTGCACCCACCGCTTTCGGACAACAGGGAGAAGTGCCTTTGTGAAAATGCTCTCGTCTTTCGCCTGACGAGACAACAAATGACGTTTCAGTGAGCCTTATACTGAGCGACGCTGACACCAAAGCGTGGTCAGCACCAATTACCTACTCCAACCCAATGAAAAATGCTGAGCGCTAGGTCTAGTCGGAGACGGATGTTGTGTAATGCTTCTTAGGAAGGGTCTCATTCAAACAGGGAAGCTGAAACCGGCCACATCGTCAACCTGTTCTTTTTTTTTTTTGCTCAATTTCAACTAAGGCAAACAAGAAGTTTCTAAATCAGAATAATTATCTGTTTTACTTATTTGTACATATTGCAGTCCATCAGCTATGGTAGGAGCGGCAACATCATTACATTATAATAAGATTTCATACACAATCATGTCAAGTATAGGGGACGTTATTGAAGGTAATTGTAACGTAAATGTTTACAATACAGTTACCTCTAATATTTACATTGCAATTACCTCTTACAATATCCCCTATACTTTCCTTGACATGATTGCCTATGAGATCTTATTAATTTTGTGTCTAACAAAGAAAATAAGCCCTTAAATGTAATTACACTTCTCTAACATCACATGTCAATCGTAGACAAAAAACGCTCATTGGCACAGAGAAAAATATATTGGGCAATGCATTCCAACGTTCAACTGTTGAAAGAAAATGGCTATATTTGCACAAATCAGTTCTAGATTTAAGTGGCAACAGATTAAGAAGTGCGAGCCATGTGTATGTGAATATATATGTTGTGTGCAAACAGAAAGTACATATTTATTGAAGCAGGTAGAGTGTGGGAAGCTGAGAAGTTAATTAAGTGTTTACGTAAGCAGAGTTTGTCCGAGAACAAGCAACCAGCCAGCACTAGACTCAGTACTATAAATAACACAAATGGTTCCCACAGACCAACGTACCCAGACTGTTAGCAGCGTGCAACCATATTAGTGGCGCCAAACATGCAGAGTTGGCCAAACATGAAAACTGTAAAACATTGGTGGATTGGAAAGTCTGTTTGTTCATATAATTTTACCCTGCCAGACAGATCTGTCAAGTATGTTTACCTCCAAATTCACATAGAGGCATGTCATCCTGGCCTATTGGAAACACACACTACTTGAATTGTATTTATTCATATCCAACACAGTCAGTTACTTTTTCTATGTAGGCACTTCACTTTTGTAATGATAGAATTCCGATGAAAGAAAAATCAACAACTTAATTCACCAGGCCTGAGGTGCCACAGAAATATGAGAATCCTTGTGAGGAATAGTTGGCTTTGAAATACATTTGAAACATTGTCATTTGGATAAAGCACATTTGTTTACAATCATTGCTAGTTCTCTGTGAATCCACTGTATACAGACAGATAAAACCACTACATGCAAAAAAAAAATAGCATGCTGGTCTTAAATCATGGCAGCAAGGTAATGGCATGCTTATATCAATCCGTGCAGTCATCTGTACTGTTAGTGAGTAAGTGCAAGAACATCAGTACCACAACATCCTGAATTAAGCAGCAGATAATGGTATGTGTAATACTAAGAAAAGTGCAGCCTGTTTAGTTCTATGTATTATTGTATGCTACAAGCTCATTTCAGCATCTGAATTTTATCATTAAAAGTTCAGTGACATTACAAGTACTTAATGAATGTGGGATTCACATAATGTGGAGTTATTTACAAGCTGGACGCAAATGAACAGATCGGAAGATGCAGACTCGATTGATGTCACTACCACAATGTAATTAAAGAATTGTTTGTATGTACTTACATGTACATGCAGTTGCTAGCTTATATGCGCTCTCTCGGACCCATGCGATAATACTGTCAGGACATGTACATTATATATTTCTGTAATTCACAAATCCACAGTACATTCACTTTCATCTGCAGTACCGGATAGGTCATGCGGCAACAGCTGTACATGTTGCAACTGTACCTGCAGATACGTGTGTCAAGGAAGACACATGAAGTTCCTATGCATTGGATTGTGCGTTACAACTATACTACACGATTCAAATTAAACGCGTTGCACATTCCTCCCGCGTTTCGT